AGTAGGTTTTGTATCGGCTTATGTACTATACGTGCTTGCCCCACCTATTTATATATATATATATATATTCGCATATATACAAACACATATGTATATATATATATATAATACCTACGTCGTTCTCATACTTAACTCTTCACGCGCGCACGCAAATAATATATATACACATATATAAATGAAGAATATATATATATTCATAAGCATCAGCAGTTGACGGACAAAGGAGAGGTTCCGTATCGCGCCGCATGCGTTCATGGCCGTACAGTGCGTGTTTATCTTCTATATATATATATACATATATGAGCATCATAGTTATACATATATATGTATATATATTTTTATTAACGCAGCTTCCGTTTACCTTATTTTATTTCTTCATGGTTAAAAAATGATTTTACAAAAAGAAACTAATGGTAAAGGTAAATTTCCTTAAAGATATAGCTTCACAAGAAGAAAACTTAAACTGTTCGCACGTGCACAATATACATATAAATAATAATAATAATAATAATAAAAGAAACGCATTAAAATTTTATTTATATTTTTTGTACCCCAGCCAAATTTATTTATAAAAATCCATAAAAATAATTTTATCAATTAATAAATAAAGTTATAAAGTGGATAATGATTGTAATTTTGTATTTATTTTTTATAAGTATGAGTATGTGCGAGTGTGAATAATATATAAGTGTGCAAGTGTAAGTTTAAGTCTGGTTGATTTAAAGTAACGCAATTTAGCGTGTACTTTTTCCAATGACTGTACACTTCTTGGAATGGAGAGTATCTTTGATACAAGAGGGAGCGAGAGATCTGCGCAAACAAAGCGAGCTGAAAAGAAATTATATTTTTTTTTATATTACAAACATAAGTATAAATTTATAAATATGATAATATAATTTATTTATTTCTTCATTATTGTAAAATTTTTTTTACTCACTCTGAAGTTATTTTTTTTATTGATACGCTCATTTATCACACAAGTTAGGTCGAATTTATCTCCGATTACCATTTCGGGTTATCGTTTAAATTAATTGGAGTAGACTCATAATTGTACACTAAATTAAAACCTTCAATTATATCAATCCAGTGTTGAATAAAAATACTTTGACAATTGTCTTGTTAATTAAAAAATATTAATAAATAAATAAATAAATGAATAACAATAATGATAATAATAATCTTGATACTTACTTGGCCATTCAACTTCTTATACTAAATACGTGATTACATTATGAATTTATTATTTTTTTCAAGGATACCCGCATATATATATGTATATATATTTTATTATTATTATTATTATTATTTTAACATTAATCTGTAAGTATATATGTTGTATAATATTATTTTATCGCTTTTTTTAACACCAACAATTTACTGAGATTATGACTCTGATAATTTTTTATATTTTTAGGTTAGAACTTGGAACTGATTTGTATCTCAATTTCTATTTAATAAAAATAGAGAAAATAAGGGGCAGGGATAAATATCAGTGAGTATTATAAATAAAATATTTCGATAAATAAATTAGCTACGGATTGATTTTATGCTATCACAAAAATCAACCTCGTGTCGCTTATAATTATACTTAAATGTATTTTATATTGTCGAGTAGCAATGAATTGATTAATGCACAAAGAACCACGAGAAGATGGTGGGAGCGTGATCAACATCTGGTAATTTCGGATATTGACGTCATAAGCGGTCTTACTGTAGTCCAGAGAATAACAAACAGCAATGAAATGATCAGGCGGGATGAGGTTATATATGTTGTATTATCTGTAACAGAATAAATATAAATGTAAGTATTTTATTAATATCATTCTTATTATAAAAGTTTATTGTTTATAGAGGTTTAAATTGGTACAACAAATTTCCAAGTGAAATTATGAACGAAAAACGAATTAATATTTTCAAAATTGATTTTAAAAAATATGTGAAAAAGAATATAGGGCTCTTTGATAGCATAAAACGTAATTAATGTATATTTGTATTATCATAATGAAATTGTCAACGACTTGTACATAGCAAAATTGCTAAATAAACATTATTGATATTATTATTATTATTATTAAAGAAGAAATATCAGAAATTATTCAATTTTATTATCATATTTTTCTTGCTAAAGAAGAAATGTTTAAAAATTTTCCATGATTGAAACTTTTTACTTAAAATAACATTTTATACTAAAAATTTAATAATAATAATAATAATAATAATAATGATGAGAGTAATAATAAACGACGGTCTGCATTTATTTTCTGACAAGAAGGTATAGGAACCATCACTAGTTGACCTCACTCATTGTTTCTAATCCCACAATAAATTGAAGCTGCAGCTGTACGAGCAATTGATACAAATTTACTGATGTACAGTCCGACTCATCATCTTCATTCAGAATATTACTCAAGTAATTTATACAAATACAAATACATACTATACACACGAATAGGATAATTTAAATTATACTAATAATAATAATAATTATTATTATTATCATTAATTTTAAAATTACATTATTATTATTTTTGTCTTTATAATTATTTACCTAGTTAAAAAAAATTTTTTTGCTAAAAACAAATATAGTCTTCCTGATTTTTTTAGTTAAACATTTTTTTAATATAAAAATTGAATAGTTAAAAAAAAATTCACATTGTATATTTAGAAAATTTTTATTATTTATAATTAAAGTGTTTCAGGATGGAGTAAAAGAATAAGTCTTCAGGATAATTTATGTATGAGGACATGTACACATTGTTTTTTAAAATTTTTATGTCATGGACAAAAAAAAGGTATTAGATATTCAGCAAAAGACCCAAGTAAAGGCAAAGTAAAAGGAAGTTTTGAAAACGTGATGCCGTTGTTAAAAACTTTGAACAAAGCTCTGAAGAAATGGTGATAAAAATTTAACCGCGAAGATATATAAGGGACTAAATAAAACGAAAGACATTACAACGGCAACTAATAATGATGAAAATAATAATAACAATAATGATAATACATACATAATACTGCGTACGTTTTTACTCGTACTTTAGTATTGTACGTCGCGTTACGCATATGTAATGCCTACAAGTTATATGCGTTTAATGATTCTCAACATCTTTATGAGCACCCGCACTAGCTAGACGCTGAATATATTCGCTTAAAAAAACACTTAAACACCATCAAGCAAGTGTGGGTAATTTTTTTTTCATTTTTATAAGTTGTAATTTATTATAAATATAATATAATATAAATGATCAGATGATCAGAGTATGAGATCGATCCAATAAGGGCTATAGATAAAATTTTAATAACATTAATTTAAAGTTAGCAGTCACTTGACCATATTTTTATTTTTTTTTATAACAAATTTATTTGTTATAAAAAAATTGGATTTTTTTTAATTTCTACCTGTCAATTTTTAGGAAAATAAAGTTAACCGACATTTAAAAATTTTTTCATTTGTTAAAAACTTGAAAAAATTATAAGTGCAATTTTTTAAAAATATTTTTTAGTTATAATTTAATAAATTAAGCAAAATAAAAAAAAAAATTAAAGATGTCGGCTAACTTTATTATTATAAAATTTAGTTAGCTGACACTCAAAAATTTTTAATTATAAAATTTTAACGATAATTAAAATATTGATCCGGAGTTTTTGTGACAAATAACATGCTGATAATAATAATAATAATAATAATAAATAACAAGAAGAATTACCTGGTAAATGACATTACGAGCAGTACACCAGCTGCGTAAGATATTAACCCTCCAAATACCATCGCATCTGTAATATTTATATATTAATATAAATATATATAAATAATTATCAAACCAAATAAATACTAATGTTTTGGTACTTACTTGAAGCTCGATGGTAATCCTGATTATTATGCGAACCCATTTTTGATTAATTATTATTCACAGGAATATAAATTAAACCTTTGGGTTTTTTTTTTTTTTTTTTTTTTTTTTTTGAATTTTGTAAGAATTACCAAAATTTTTATGGAATTCGATTAATAACAATTATTAGTCAGTACGTAACCACACCTCATATGATATTGTTATTATTATTATTATTACTATACGATACGAACAATAGTTTGATGGTATTTACATTTACTATAGCGGGTCCTGGAAAAATTCATTGATTCACATGCGCGCGCACATACACTAGTTCCATCTGTCATTTTTTGTACTATATTTATTTAATTTATTTTTGTTGAAATTATATTTTTGAACTTTTATTCAATTGATTATCTTGGATAATTTTTTAAATCAATTATCAAAAAATTATATAAAGAAATATTATTTTTTTTAATAAAAAATATATGTACAATTTATTTTGATTTATTAAAAAAAGTACAATGTCAACAACTTGAAGTTGCTGTCACTGGTTTAAACAACTTTGTTATTAAGTACAAATGACATTTTTAATTACATTGTCACTTATTATTCTAATAATAACAACAATGAAGACTATATATTTTAATAAAATGAAGAAACAAAAACTTGACAATTAAAAATTTAATTAAAAAACTAGGAGTTTTTTTTTATTTAACAAAAAAATTTGTTCCAAAAAATTATTTAAAAAAAATTGCATTTTTTATTTATAAAAATTTCTACATGTTTATTTTTTTTTTTTTCATTTTTCTATGCAGTAATTTATTTATTATAAAAATGATTAAATATTTGCTAAATAAATTTTCATAAAAATAATGAAACAAAATCCAAAGTTGGCTTAATAAATTTATTTATTCTAACTTTGATATGTTACAAAAATGAATAAAAAAAAAATGATTTTACTTGTAAAAAGTAAAATACCATAGGTAATTAAAATTTTTCTTAATTACGTAATACATTTTTAAGGTGAATAATTTTATAAAATATATTCACAGTTAAAGCATGTATTTATATACCTAATATATAATGGACGGTGTCTTTGTACTCTCAAGGACGGATTCTTTCAGAGATTTTTTCGCGTTTAGCTAATTATCTTCGTTATTTTTAAAATAACTAATCACTAACACTAACAATAATATTAATAATAATAATAATAAAAAAAAATGATCATTAATAATAATTTGAAAAATTTATGAACATTTTACGCGGTCGGAGTGGCCATTTGGAACCGCGTCTGTGATTCTTTGAAATACTGCAATTTTTTCTTCTGAACATCAGCTTCAACCAGGAACAAAATAGCCGCAATAATAGTCAAGACACTTCCAATGACTCCAATAATGAAGGACCAGCCGAGGAAATTATTTTCATGACCTGGCATCCAGCCCTCGCCGTTGCCTAAGCAGGCGAATATTATCACGGCAATGCACCCGCAGATTCCAGCGACAATTAACAAGTACCCAATAACTTGGATCAATAGTACGTAGTTCTTTTGTTCTGGATCGCAGCAAAGTGTGAACAGGAGTATCAAGAAAAATGATATCAACACTCCAAAGAAGCACACTGAGAAAAAGAACTGTGTCGCTACCATGAATGCTAAAAATAAAAATAAATTAATTAATTGTTATTTTTTATAAAATTATAAATACTTATGAAAATTAATTTAGCATATATTTAATAATTTTATAACAAATAAATTATGGCAAAAAAATTGATTTTCAATTTTTCTTATTAATTAAATTACAACTAAAAAGATATTTTTAAAAAATTGCACTCATAGTTTTTAAAGTTTTTTACAAGTGAATTTTTTTTTTTTTTAATTTTTTAATTGAAATTTTTTCAATAAGAAAATTTTGAAATGTTAGCTAACTTAATTTTCATCTAACTTTAATGTCATTAAATACTTACGAGGTAAAAGAAAACCTCTGATGTCAGAGTAGCCGGCAGTAAATGGATCATAGACCCAGCGACAACCAACAAAGTACCTCGTTGGTGCACTAGGAGCTTCCTGGGGATTTCCCAGAGACCTGAAGCAGTGGGTCCAAAGGCCCAGCTTGTCAACCCTGGCACCTGTGATTCGGGTATCACTTGTCAGCCATGAAGGTGTCCCGAATGCAACACAAACACACACCAAGGCTACAACAAATACCCCGACTCCAGCGTTTCCTGCCAAACTTCTCTGCTTCATTTTAATTAATTAATAATTAATAATTAACAGACGACTTGTTCCTTAATTTAAGAGGATAAATTAACAAAAGTCGTGAGAGTAAACTTGCGTCAACCACACCCAGAAGTAAACTAAGATGTATGACACGTGTAGTTGCGCGCGCGACAAGGCTGAGTATGTAAAAAAAAGGTATACAATATCTAAGTCAATGTTGTTATTGTTTCTGTGGACTGTTTATCGTAAGCTGAGCACTCTCTCTTGATGGGTTTTATTATATTATGGCAATGGGCTTGGTCTCAGTCCAGTCAACAGTCACTGGCTATGACATGCTGCTTGCGGCTAACTTCATTGTAATATTATGGACAGGTGTGTGTGTGTGTGTGCACACGGTTCCCATACGCACACCACCGCAATCCAGGACATTACTTCTCTAAGAGTCATCGTTTGATTCACACAAATATATACACCTTCATCATTCTCTGTCACCATTCAATGTTATGTGTACTTTTATTTATTTGTCTTTTTTTTTAATGAAGAATGTGTATGCATAAATACATGTAGTTTGTAAATTTACTAATTATATACTTATTACTATTTCGTCATTATTTTTCTTCTCACGATTTTTATGTTAGTCATAGCTTTTTTATTATTTTTTTGCTCTACATTGAGGTTGACAGATTATTTTTTTTTTTTTTATTGCTACTGAATTTCACAAGTATCAAAAATAAATTTTTTAGATTTTTATAACAATGTAATAATGAAAAAAATTAAAAGTGCAAATTTTTTAAAATATCTTTTTTCATTATAAAAATTAAAAAAATTTTTAATTTCTATATAATTATTTTTTACAATTAAATTTTTTAACTTTTTAATTTTAAAAAATATTTTTTTTCTATCAATTATTATATAGAAGATGATTTAAATAAAAAAAAATATTAATTTTCCAATTTAATAAATCTAAAAAAAATATTTTTTTATTTAAATTTAAATTTGTGATTATATTGAAATATATTCTATTTTTAAATATTGCCAAGATTTACATTCGCAATAACAATCTAAAAAAATATAAATATTATTATTCATTAATAATATTAAAAGTATAGTTTGAAATAACAAACTCGATTATATAACTTGACATTCTATCGAATTGAATTACAAAATTTTTTACTTTCACATTTTCGAGTTTCTTAATCTATAAATATATTTAAAAAATTTTCATTCTATAATTAACTAAAATATTAGTAAGTAAAGAAAAAAAAAATTACAATAACATAAATTTATTAATCAAATAAAATCGTGTAAAATTTTCTTATCAATATGTAAAAAATACATAAAACATAAAATTGATTACTTTTTAATATATATATATATATATACATTTTTTAATTATTTAAAACACTTTAATATATTTAATTTAAAAAAATTGAAGACATAATGGACGGATTAGTATTAGTCATAATGACGAGTCTCGATGAATGACGTGTCACGTTGAGATTCCTTAGAATTAATGATACTGAAGATAATTATAAATATATCATACTGCTAAACACTCAATTGAACTAAATATTAGTGTGATGTGACCTGGGCTCGTCGATCAAAATTTTTTCAATTCGCTTCCGGTGACGTCTGCCCTCGATAAGGAACAAAACTCCAGCAGCCAAGCTGGCGAAGCTTCCTACAACTCCCAGTGCGAAGGACCAACCGATGTCATTGTGCTCCCAGTTGGGCATCCAGTCCCTACCGTCGCCGTACATTCCAAATATTATCACCGCTATTATCCCGCAGAAACCCGACAAAGCGAGGTTGGTGCCCACTGCCCAGAGCAGGTGCTGGTACATGTTATGCCGTCTCGAGCAACACGTGTACAGAGCCGTTAGGAACGACCCCACGAGCATCAGTGTGAAACTCAGGGTGAAGAAAAATTGAGTTGTCACGAAAAATCCAGGAAGTAATATCTTGTGGATTATGTAGTACTCTTCCTCGAAGACCCACCAGCATCCTGAGAACTTTGTGTCGTATAAATGATTTGTTTCTTCAAAGTTTTTAAAGCAAACTTGCCATAATCCTAAAATATGTAAATTAAATTAAGATTTTATTATAAAGATATATTTATTAATTTAAAAAATTTTTTCTTTAATTTTAATGATATTTTAATGAAAGTTAGCTGTCGACTGACCAATTTTTAATTTTATTTAATTTCTAGATGTCAATTTTTTTTTGCCATTATTTATTTGTTAACAAAAATTATAAAAATTATCAAACATCTGCTAAATTAATTTTCATTAAATTTAAAAATTTTTTTAATTAAAAAATTATATTTCCTATTTTTTTTTTTTTTTTTTTTTTTATTGACAAAATTATTATAAAAAAATTTTCATTTGTAAAAAAATTGAAAAATTATAAGTGTAATTTTTTAAAAATATTTTTTAGTTCTAATTTAATAAAAGAAAAAAATTAAAAAGTTTATTATTATAATAATAATTACCTAAATTATGAAATTTTGGATTGTTTAATTTTCCATCAGTTTGCAGCCAATAGGGTGTGGTGAAAGCAATAATTATAAATATAAATCCCACTAATGTGAACACAGCGGCTATTTTTCCAGTTTTAGATTTTCCCATTTTTATTATTTATCAAAAAATAAATAAATTTTCAAGGCACAAACGGTAACAATTGTTTAAATTAATAAATAAAAAGTTGTTTTTATAACAGTACACATGAACTCGACTGTAATTACAACACACAGCATACTATATATATAAAAAACATAGTTTAGTTAATTAAGCCGTCTGAAGATGGCTGGTTAATATTTAAACGGCAAACGTCAGCTGATCATTTAAATAACTACTGTTGACAGGACTTTTGTTATTGATTTTGTTTAAATATTTATCGGCTTCTCAGAGTAATTAACAAATTGCATTAATAATTTTAATCAGTTTCTATTGTTCGTGTCATTTTAATTTATGACTTACGTAGTAGAGGCAGAGTTTTTAAAAATAACATTTCGCTAGTCACTGTTTTAATAATCAGGTTACTAATTATTTATGATTTTCAGTTTGGTACGAGCCAACAGATGTCAAAAAAGCTTGCAAAATATTCGAAAATGATAAATGGAGAAGTGTACTTAGATTTATTTCACCGAACGTCAAGGAATTATTCACGATTGCTGAGTATTTTTCGCTGATTAAATCGAAAATGAGGAATTTTAATGAAGATCATGTTGATGTTAATGAAGTAAAGGAACTGACTGAACGACTGGTGGAGTACATTCCTGCTGTAATTACTACCATGGGCTACAGAGGATTGTTGGTAATTAATAGTTAATGTAATACTCAAAGCTGGATGACAGTTTGACCTATTCACACAAATTACATCCTGCGAGTAAATTGTTTAGATTTTAATAATTAATATGATACTGAAGTTAGCTGATACCTGTTAATATTTTTTTTTTATTTTTATCACAAATCAATTACTATTATAATATAAGGGCCAGTTTTTCAACCCCGAGTTTAAGTATTTTATCATTGTAAATATATCTATTATATATAGATTGCTTCTAAAAATTTCCATGAAAATTAAGTTAGCTGACATTTAAAAATTAAAAAAAATTTTTTAGTTCTAATTTAATAAATGAAAAAAAAAATTAATAATTCTTTTTTAAATTTTCAAGTAAAAAAATTCTATAAATTATCAGCTATCTTCTAATTAAATATTACAAAATAACAATCCTTTGTTATGTATCAGGTTGCCCGAAAATTTTCAGACCAGGACCAACTATACAATCTCCTTGACCTCCAAAAAACTTATCTAAGCAATCAATCCAAGATACAAAGTAAATTATACCCGCCTTTGGTACAAATTACCCAGGAGCAATTGAAGCAAAATAAATTCAGCGTGAGCGGATGCGGAGATTGTTTGGCTGCTGGAATAATCACCGGAATGTTGAAACAATTAAACGACGAATCGTGTATTTATCTTGGACTCCAAGCAGCAGCAACATCTCTCCAGTCCTTGGAAACCGTCCCTACTGCTGCATTGAACCAATTGATCAACCCAACCATTTAATTAAACTTAAAATAAAGTTAAAAAATTTTTTGCATCAAAGTAATTTATAAAATTTTTTTCAGTGTATAAACTTACAAAAATTAATAGCGCATAAAAAAAAAAAAAAAAAAAAAAAAAAAAAACTGTAAGTATCAAAGTTATTTTACAAAGTATAATTATTTCTTCTTAAAAATTTTAGATATGTCATTTTTCTTGTTAACAATCTTGCCATCATACTTTCTAACAAAAGCTTTAACATCAAACTTTCTCTCGCAGCCTTTGTAGTTCATGTACCTAATTTTACCAAACACAGATCTTTCCTTCCAGCCTTGATCATGGATACCACAAATAGACCACATGCAGCCAACATATCCATTAGGATCTCTTCCATCCATGCTGTACTTGTCATTAAGGTAAATTGACCAGGCCAGAGCATCCTCCGGTGACGGAGTCCACTCAAGAATTTTCTTGGCCCAGTACATCCTCAAGAACCCGTGCATTTTTCCTTCTCTGACCATCTGGTTCTGCGCTGCGTTCCACAAATCATCATGGGTCTGAGACTTCTCGAGCTCATCGCGGGTGTAAAGGTACTCTCGCTTGTCCTTTCTGTGCTGGTTCAGCGACTCAATAGCCCAGGCGTTGGTTCCTTCAACTTTATCATAATTTTTGTTGTGGAAACAAAAATTATCGCTCAATTCGCGACGAATTATCGATTCTTCCATGAAATTTTCTACAGACTCTTTGTACTTTTTTTTGTACTCCTTCACCTCGAGGATCACCCGCTGGACAGATATCTGCCCGAAGTGGAACCACGGGGACAGTTTGCTCAGAGCATCTTGAGTTGGGTCGTTGCGCTTGGTGTTGTAATGCGGCAGACGATTTTTTATGAATGACTCCAATTCAGCCAGAGCTCCTCTGTATCCTGGCTTACACCAGTCAACTTTGTCGACAGTAAGGTCGATCTCCACGTCCTTCAAGGCATTTTTCCAGTCAATGGTTGGTATTTCGAATAAACTGTCATGGGGATGCTTGATCAGCGGAGGATATTCTGTTAGATACTCGGGTAATTTTGTGTTTATTTTTGATCTTATTGTTCTGGCTCCGTACTCTAGTTTGTCCGACGCGACCTTGCAAGGCACTATGTTATGCGCATCCACCTGGGAAAAATACTTTCATAATACTGGATTCAACAGATACAATGATTATTAATTACTACTAGCAACCTGCCAGTCACCATGTGACTGCCGTGGCTTGTGAATTATAAATAAATAAAATTTTGCTTTATTAAATAATGACTTTTGTTAAATTGCTCTGTACTTTTTTAATTATTGACATTTTTAAAGATATAAGCTCATTGCATTGACAATAAAGATAATCATTTTTGATTAGTATTAGTCAGGTGTAAATTATTTGGATACTATAAATGTGTAGGATCAATATATGCAAATTTATATTTAAATCGATGTTATAATAATTTAAAAGTACAAAATTCAAATAAAAAATTTTTTATACTGAAATAAATTTTTTTTTTAATTTGAATTTTTGATAAAATCTAAAAAAAAAAACTTTTGATTGTTAGCTTATATCTTTTTTTAATGTCCATATTTAAAAAAAAAATTCCAAACTAGCAATTTTTTGTTAAATTGCACTCTACTTTTTTAACTATTAGCGTTTTTAAAGATATAAGCTCATCCCGGTGTTATACTCATCAAGAGCTTTCATTTGAGTATCCACATGCATTTTTGATATATTTTTCATATATACATATATATAATATATATAAATATATGAAAAATTGATGTGGGTAGTCAAATGAAAACTCTTGAAGAGTATAACATCAGGACGAGCTTATATCTCTAAAAATGTCAATAGTTCACGAGATACAAGGTCATTTGAAATTTTTTATTAATAATTTTTTGGAACAAATTTAATTGTTAAAAAAATAAAAAATGGTCAGATGACTGCTAATTTTAGTATCATACACTATAAAATTTAAAATAATAAAATAAATATAAATTAAAAATAATTACCTGACATAAAGGCACATCTTTAGGAATTGAATTTTTAAGATTTTCAACCCAACCAAGCGGAACTCGCAGCGGAAAAAAGTCAACAACAAGAGCGCCCATTTTGTGCTTTTTAATTAAATCTAAAACTACGACATTGGGCACGCCATGAAGAAGATGGAAATTTATATTGAGATCCTTGCAATCATTTGAAACTTCTTCCAGAGATTCAATTAGAAATTTGTAGTGTCTAAGAGTTGCGTCTAGAAATTTAGGCAAAATGCAGTAGCAAACATGAAGCGGTAGTCTGTTTTTCAAAGCCAGTTTTTGGGCGAACAAAAATGACCAATTGTCTGTAAATAATTTTATTATTATTTGGTAAATAAATTAAATTTTTTTTATATTATATTTGTACCTTGAACTCGGCCATCACGAAACATCCAGTAGAGAATTCCCTTTGAATTTTTAGCGACTGCATCGACTGACGACAGAACTTCAACGCGATTTTTGTTGAATTTAAAATCCAAAATTGAACTTGCGGCCTAGAAAATGAAAATAAAGTTCTGAATATTTAACAATTTTAATTATAACAAAGTTAGCAGTCACTTGATCATTTTTAAATTTTATTTAACAAAAAAATTGTTCTAAAAAATTCCATTTTCAATTTTTTTTCGTCATAATTTATTTTTTTTATAAAAATTCTAAATAAAATCAAATACCTGGTAAATTAATTTTCATAAATTTTTAATAATTATTTTCTTTTAGTTTTTTTTTTTTTTTTTTTTGTACTTACATTCTGTCTGTTGTCATTAAATTTATCAAACAAACTAGAAGATTTTAATTTTTTCTTCTGAGGTTCTGACATTTTTACAAAGAATTGTTTTATATTTAGTTTTTCAGTTCTTTGTTTCTGTTTACAAAAATTTACGGTTATGTTTTAGACCGCGTAGAGTAAACTAAATACAGACCAGGTATAGGCTGCTTATTGTGATTAAATAAATTGACAGCAGTTGGTAATGTTTCTTACTCAGGAATTTATTTATTAACTTACTCTAATTATTGATTTAGATTGTAATCTAAAAATATATTTTACATTAATAATAAATATATTTTTACTATGACAAATATTTAAAATCTCAATACATATTTTATTAATAAATTATTATGAAAAAAAATTTTACATTTATGAGATAAAATAATTACAATTGTTTTTTTTTTTAATTTTTTTCTTTACAATAAATTTGTAATAAAAAAAATTTCATCAATATTTTATATTTAAGATTTTATTGACACCCTTTAGAATATGAATAAATTTGTGCTGAAAAAAAAAAAAAAAAAGAAATATATTATTAAATACAAGATCAATAAAAATATTTTCTTCAAATATTCTACAATAATTAAAAATTGAAGAAAATTTATTAAACACAATTTAGTTGAATAATTTGCAAGGAATTATAAAAAGAAGAAAACTTTTAAAAGGAAAAAAAAAAAAAGAAGCTAAATTATAATGATTAATATTTGGAAAATAAAATGATCTTTAACCAAACAATTTCCTTATATTAATAATTATTTTCCAGTGGTTAATATTTAAAGCCTGAGATGTATAATTTAGCAAGTACTCTTACCTTATTAATGTCAAAGGCACTCGACCTAAAAAGCTCGAATGGCAGGTCGCTCCTGCCGCCCGTAACCATCATTAATGGTACACAGACTAAATAGAAAAGAGAAGAGAAAAATAATAGTAACAACAATAACAACAAATATAAAGGCCACAGAGGAGGCAAAAAACGTGTCAAAACACTGCTAGTGCTACTTATTAAAAAGTAAAATACTAAATACAATGGATAATTAAAATAAAATATATATCTCGGATACAATAAATAGTAAACATTGGGCAATTATTATTATATTACAATACAGAACACAAGATGTACATTTTACATTTATATTTTTTAAATATAGTGTACATATAGATTTATTTATTGTATTATTTATATTTTTGGTTTGTTGAAGACTTTCGGTAAAACATTTTTTGTACCTTCATTTCATGTTTCTGAGTATATTTGCGAAGATACTAAATAAGTTTGTTTATTTTAATATTATTTATGTTTTTTCACACATCAATTAGAAAATTCAACGTGTCACCGCTCATCCTTAAACATTAAATTCATTTTTTATATCAATATTTATTAGGGTGGCGCAAAAAAAACCGACTATTTTTTATTTTTTTTTTTTTTTTTTTTTTTTTTTGAGTCTTGAGTGAAAAAATGTCAGTTTTTGATGTTGTAAGAGCCCTCTCCAAAGAACAGCTCAAAAAAAAATTTTTAAGAGGTCACTCAAAATTTTTTTAAATTTCAAAAATCGAAATTTTTTTTTTTTTTTCGTTACGTCATAATTTTATAGACAAAAAAAATGAGTTCCTGAAAGTTTCAATTCAAAATTAAAATTTTGAAAGGTCGCTCATAATTTTTTTTAAATTTTAGAGTCAAAAAATGCTAATCCAATTAAATAGTCACTAATAAATTAAAAAAAAACATATGAGCGACCTTTTAAAATTCACATTTTGAACTGATGAAACTTTCGGTAAAACCTTTTTTTTGGTCTATAAAATTATGACGTAACGAGAAAAAAAATTAACATTTTTTTACTCGAAACTAAAAAAAAAAAAAAAAAAAAAAAAAAAAATAGTCGGTTTTTTTGCGCCACCCTAATATTTATAATATTATATATATTTTAATCATATGTTTCAGAAATAGAACTTTAGTCTTCAGTGAGTGGATTGACTCGCTGAAGAATAACTGATTGTTCGTCGAGTCCAAGGATGAGCATGACAGGAAACAGTTTGTGAATAAGAGATAGACATCATCAATAATCAAGAATAGACAGGTGTTTTTGTTTAGTTTAGTTTAGTTAGAAGACCCCATTATAAATTGACATTTTAGCGAGGGGATAAACCGACGCTTGTCTTTAATTTTTAAGTACATTTCTTCCCTTAATTCTTACCACTAATCCAGTAGTTAGTAAATAAATAATTCGGCTCATTATTTTATCGTCAACACATAAATTAACTATAAAATTATTTAAAAAAAAAAAAAATATTCATCCACTCTATCAGACACGCACTCACGCACAAATGTATTTACCTATAATTATTAATTATTAACACACTCGAGCGTGTCGACTGCAGACAAGTCATCGATTTATAGTTCCTTATTTTTATTATTATTATTTTATTTCTTCTTTTTTCGCTCAAGTATTTATGCCACAAATCGATCGTAAAAATAGTTATATTAATACAAGTAATAATACATGGAATTGACTAGAATGTATCCGTGCAGATTAAGTCTTAGTCGTAAAATTGGACCATTTTATTACGTAATTTTTTTAAAAAAAAGTACGTCGCACATTTTTATAAATGCTCCAATAAAATGTAGAAAAAAAAATCAACATTTGGCATTGTGTGGATGTTATTATTATTTAATTCAATATATATCTCTGTATATATTTACTTTTGGGCTTTATCAAACCCATCGATCAGCGTCTCTATTATGAACTTTATCGTGAGCTTGTATATGGTCTCGACGTTATCCGTGTAGCGATCCTCGAGAGTACGTTTAACAGCCTCCAAAAACGGTGTTTCTATTTTCTGAAACATATTAATTTAAGTAAATCCTTTATTATTCTTTCATGATAAAAAGTATTAAATTTTTTTGACTTATACAAGCTAATATTTTATGGATGAATATTATATTAAGTTCGACGTGGATGAAGAAAATTTTTCTAGCTTCTTTGCTCCTCAAGTTTGCTGACATGAGCACACACATATAAATATAAGTATAGATATTATGGATAAATATATTATATTTTGATGTTATTTTCCTGGCTGTCTTTTACGGCCTCTTTGTCTAATAAAAGGACAATAGGACGACCGATAGACAAGACTCCCTCATCTCAGGATTGTCGCAAGTGAGACATGAGCGACGTTCACCGCCGAAGAGAATCAAATCAAAGAGGCTTTGTGTTTAATATATAAAGTTTGGATTCAGGAAGAATATATGATGATAAAATCGCATACCGGCTACGCTGTTATTATCATATTTTATATATTTCATGTTTATCTTCCTTCATCTTTATTTTTATTTTTATGTCTATGCTAAGTACAGTCTCAGGCGGTGTTTTTCATTTTTTTAATATCTAAGCCTTAGACTGGGTCTTACATATTCAATTGAAGGAATAATTAAAATTCAAAGAAGATCAACTACAGGTTATGGGCCCAGTTATTTTCGTAATAATTCAAATTATTACGTTTTTTAAGTTTTTTATAATAGAAAAAATTATTTTTATTTTTTTGTAATAATTTTCTCAATAAAAAAAATTATGAAAATTTTCAGATATTGGCTAATTTTATTTTCATATAGTTTATGCTGTTTTTTTTTTTTTTTTATTAATGAAAATAAAGGTAGCAGATAATATTGTCTATTTTTAAAAAGTTTTTTAATAAATTAATTATTATAGAATAAAAAATGCCACATGACATCTAAATATTTTAATAATTTTTTTTATTGAGAAAATTATTACAAAAAATAAAAAAAAAAATATTTTTTTGTTCTAATTTAATTCCTAATAAAAAATAAAAAAAATTAAAAACGTCGGATAACTAAAAGTTAATAATAAAGTAAAGTATGTATTTAAATCTAATAATGCTTACCCAAAAATATTGTCTGTTGAATCCAGGTATTTTGGTATGAGACGCACCAACTTGATGAAGATATGTAAGAAAGGCATCCATATCATCAAGACTTTTAATGCCCTCGTCTAAAGTTTCCATAACGATATTTGCATGTTCAGCGAGTTCCATACTCTCGGTTTGTTGCTCTTTTGTCTTAAGTTCTCGAAACTTTGTAAATAGATTAAGAAGCTCGGTATTATCTTCGAATAATCTGAAAAAATAAATTTGTTTTAGATAAGATGTGTAATATTACAGCTAAAAAAGGGAATGAGAGTGATAGTTAAGCGATTTATAGTACAGCATTGAAATAAAGGCTTTGAAATTCACTTGACATGTGAACCGTGGTTCATAAATACATGCATGAACGAAGCAACTGGTACGACGGTGCATATATGTATGTACATGTGATGGAAAAACGAGGGCAAAGGGCATGTACACATAGAAAGGCTTATTGATTCGCCAACCAGGTTGACCGCTGGACCGAGAGACGTATCACCTTTTGTACTGGCCCGAGTAACGCGTGAGTACCAAAGAGAATTTTATTCTTTTCTCGTTTTATTTAAAGCTTTCAAGCTCACATTTTCTCGCTAACTCGTCTTTAATTTAAGGCGCACTAAAAGCCGATTTATAAACACCCATCGACTAAGAATCAACATTTTATAATCGGGATATAAATACCCGCTCAGACTAACATTTAGAGTAACACTGTCAAAAATTTATCCGATCTACTCTGAGCTTATGATTTTTAATTTCAATGGGATTCTGTTTGATGATGTATCAAGAAGAAATTTTCAAGCTAAATATAACAGTTGATTGAATTAATCTTTATTTTACTGGAATGTCTAATTTATTTTTAAGGTAAGTAAATTATACATTGAATATTTTTAATTTTTATTTAAAAATAAACCAAGTCTAGATAATTTTTTATTGAAAAATTGCATTTATTTTTTCAAGCTTTTTAAAACAGAATTTTCAAACTTTTTTATTGTACACTGAGAGACAATTTTTTTTATTTAATATAGTAATGAAATTTTATTACTATTTAATAAAACGTTTATTTGGCTAATCCCAAATAAAAATTTATTAAATATTAATAAAATTTTATTAATATTAACTAAATTTTTTTTTTCCAAGTCCAAATAAACTTTCTTATTACTATTAAATAAGATTGTCTCTCAATATGTTGATTAAAGATAATATTTTCTTTATTGAATTTATGCAAGAGTTAAATCATAAACATACCTTTGAATTCAAGACAAGAAATTCTAAAAAAAAAAAAAACATTACTTTGAAAATAATTTTCTCAATTATTATGATATTGAAATTGATAAATCTGATGAATTAAAAATTTTTCTTGACACATAAATTACAAGAAAAATTTATTTCAAAAATATAATATTATAAAGTTAGCTGACATTGTTAACAACTGTTAGAGTTTTTTTGAATTATTAAATTAGGACTAAATAATATATTTAAAAATAAAAAAATTATTTTTGGAGTACTACAATAAAATTTTGTAAATATTTAAAATAAAAATTACGCGTCAAGTATCGAATATTGTGTGATAAAAATACAAAACTTTTTGTAGGTCATTAAATTCTCTTTGAAAAAAGTTGTAACTGTTATTCGATTTCTTACGCTCGGGCAGAATTTAAATCTAAATTTGAAATTCAAAACACAGAGGTATAAAATTTTTGGCAACAATCTGCAGAAAAAAGTGTTTCTATAATATTTGTTATATAAGTAAAGTCATGCTCGAAGAATTTCTGATGAATAAGTTAGAGAGGGAGGATCCATCAACTGTTATTAGGAGATTAAGTAAAAAATTTGAGATATTAAATAAATTAAGGTTATATAAGCCGATCTTGAGGAGTGAAAATGATTAAACGATTAGTTGGTATCCACCGCCATTAACATTAACACCGCCTCCAGACACCTCTGCTTCAATTTCACGCAGAGTTTCTCTCGCGAAATTTAATTATGTTTCCGTTTTCCTCCTCCGAGGATATTGTTTATTTATAATCGAATTCTTTGTACGTTACAGACCGACGTATACGTATACGCAGGCCTTTTTTTTTTTTGGTTTTATTACATAACTCTTAGGGAACAATTTAATTATAAAAGTTCCTCAGCTCTTCGGCTAATAATTTAAGTTAATCAGTCGCACTAACGAGGCGTATAATAAATATAACAAACAAAATAAAATAATCGAGTTACACATTCACATACTGTCTATACGCATAACACGTGTTGTCATATGTTCTACAATTGTTAGTAAAATTCATTAAACATTATTTGGACTTTTATTATCTCAGGGAGTATTTAACACCCAAGGAATATTACTAAACTAAACGTTGTAAGTATTACTGTACGCGGATCGTATGCTTTACTACCAGAAGTATAGTATGTCCCTGCTCAGTAGGGAGGTTTTATCGCTTTACTTCTCGCCAGCATGTTGAGATTAATTTCCGGTGAAGCTCATTGATCATTGACAAGAGAAATGTGTTTAAAATTGATATTGTCTATCGAGCGGTAAGTTTTTTTCTTTTTTTTATAGTCGATACTTTTCAACAGCCCTTTGTTAATCTGAATAATAAATAATAAAAATGAATATTATTAAGAAAATAAGACAAATTTTGTCTCCAGGATATTCATATATGATCAAATCGGTTTTTTTTTTTTTTAATGAAATTTAGTACCTTGCAAAATTTATTGTGATAAGTATTTAGGCTGCATTCGAAAATGCTCTATCTCTAAATACATAATTAAGAAATTGTATCTTGTGAACTATTGACATTTTTAAAGATATAAGCACATCCTGATGATACACTCATCGAGACCTTTCATTTGAGTACCCACATCAATATTTTATATATTTCATATATTTATATATAATATGTATATATGAAAAATATATCAAAAATGCATGTGGGTACTCAAATGAAAGCTCTTGATGAGTGTAATATCGGGATGAGCTTATATCTTTAAAAATATCATTAGTTGACAAAATACAATGTCATTTCTGAATACAAGACTACTGAACCACATACAATTGATCCGCGATGATTCAAAACATCAAAACTCTTTATCAAAGTAAAAAAAAATTGACAATAACTTATTAATTATCAATAATTTTTATAAAATATTTATTTATCCGAGATTGATTGAGAGTACTCGCGTCGTCTTTAAACATGAAAAACATCTTACTTGACAAACATGAAAACTCCAGTGGGCTCCATAGCTCTGGCAACGGCTTTCCAGCTGGCAATTATGGTGAATTTTTGCCTGGCTGTTAGAGGCAATCTCGGATCAGTAGCTGCTGGCGGAGGTGGTGATTCTCTTCCACCTTGATTCGACTGTGTCGTCGAAGAGGCCAATTTACTAAGTTCGCAGCCCATTTTAAAAAACAAATCTTCTTAAATCGAATCACCACTCTCGTCACCTTGTTTATTTACTCGATTAAATTCAATTTGTCACTTAAATTCATGTCTGTATCCATCTTTGTCACTGGCGATAGCAATATAAAAAATTACCATTCTAGTAACTCGACTCTTGAAACTTGAATCTAACTGCACCAAGTTTAGCCGATAAAAAAGTAAAATAAAAATAAAATATAAAATTTCTATCCGCGCTCTACTTTAACAAAATATTAAATAAAACATAAAAATACCCTCGAGTTAAAAAGTTCAATCGAGCTTTTTCTTCTTACCAGAAAACTACTCCGGCATTTTTTTTTTCTTTACTTTTTGTTATAATCTTCAACTTATCCCGCGCTTCAAAGATTCTTCCATCTTACAATTTTATCCCGCCACTTTTTTTTACGCTTTCTCCTCTTTCGCCGCGTCGTATTTATATTAATTTTCAGTCCTCTTCCTTTCAGCAATCTTCGGCGGGCGGATTCCCTCAAACACACCACTCAGTCACAGGTGGCAATTTCCAGCTTGTTTCTCCAGACGACAGGCACAACTGAGCTTCCAATTTCAACAATAACAACAGTAATAACAGCACAATGCTGGGGATCACACTCCAATAGAGACTGTGACCTACTACAGTTAATTCTGTTTCTAGGATCCAAGTCATTGCATTTATTTACTCTACTTAAAAGCCTCAGCTATTTATCCACTGTAACAAAAAAATATCAAAATTTATTTAATTATTTTTTTAACAAATTAATTATGGCAAAAAAAAATTGACATTTTGAAATTTTTATGAAAATAAAGTTAGCCGACATCTAAAAATTTTTATGATTTTTTTTTATTAAAGAATTATTACAAAAAAATTTTTCATTAGTTAAAAACTTCAAAAACTATGAGTGGAATTTTTTAAAAATATTTTTTTAGTTTTGATTTAATTAATTTAATAAAAAATTTTTAAAAAATTGCACGTGTAGTTTTTCGAATTTTTTACATGTGCAATTTTTTTGTAATAATTTTATTAATAAAAAAAATTGTCAGCTGTCTGCTAACTTTATTTTCATTAATTTTAGTATTATAAAAAAAATAAAATCCAAACAAATAAATTATGGCAAAAAAAATAATAAATGTAATTTTTTAAAAATAATTTATTTAATAAATAAAATTAAAAAATTACTAATTAGCTTTAATATCATCAAAAAAAAAAAATTAATAATAAAATAACCTCGCATTTGACATTATAAACTATAATTATAAATAGTCAACATAATCTCTAGTACACCACATTACATGGTAAGTTTTATTTATTAATATTTTATATTTAACATCAACGCAATAAAGCTATTATTATTATTATTATTATTATTATTCTCACCTTTTAGATAGCAGCCTTGGATTATTATCAACTTGTAGCGGTAATATTATCATCTGACAACAACTTTTATTAATAAAAATCAACAGCGAGGATGTTATACTAAAAAAACAAGATCAATCGATATTTTCTTGTATTTCGCTCGAGAGCCTGCCTCCAAAATGACAGACATAATAACAATGGGGCAGTATTGTGCAGGAACAGGAGCTGCCGTTTATCCGTAACTATCCAGGTATGTATATATATATATATATATATATATTTATTTGAATGGATATCCCACGGAATGAGAGTAAGAGTAGAGCTTTTCAGATGAGACACAACGTCGCGTCAATATAGCGTTCCTTTTTTTTGTCAGCAGCGTCGTTAAAAACTTTTGATGTCTTGTTAATTAATTTAACTTTAGCTGAGTTTATAATTTTTAATTATTATTATTAATACTGTTATTATTATGATAATTACTATTTTTATTATTACAATTATTATTATTAATTTAACTATGGAGTGTGTTTTACTTTTGACAGATAAGCAAGAGCTGAATGTGTAAGTTTAGATACAAATACAGTTATTATTCCAATTGCAACAACAATTACATAATCACCCTGTACTGGAAAACTGGAGATAAATAGTTGGAGGGTGAAAACTCGAATGATGTTGCCTGCAGCCCAGACGAGCCGAGACTAAGGCCTTATCGTAATAAACCCTCGAGTGCGCGCTTGCGCCCCAAATGCGGATTCTGCTCTAGTCTGATGATGTGAGTTACTTTCGATGCTTTTTATCCATCCTCAAACATACACACTCTACTCTTTACTTATTGCGAGTACTATTATAATTATCAGTCCAACTATTATCATCTTCGGGATTTAATTTTTAAATGGTTTCTATTTTACAGGTATTAATCGTCTTTACCGCGACGAGCACTTTACAGGTAATCCCAAACCGAGGTATGAGTTTTTATGAATTAATAATCAGCTCTGGCGGCAGGCTGACTTATATTCAGATAAATTTTATTCGAGGTAAATTATTTATTGGTTAACTAAATTGGAATTATGGAGAGAAGATAACTACTGTTGTTATGGAGATTATTGTTAAGATGTATATACAGAAAGAAAAATTAATATGAAAATAAAGTTAGCAGATGTCTAAAAATTTTTATGATTTTTTTTATTAAAGAATTATTATAAAAAAAAATTTTTTTCATTTGTTGAAAACTTCAAAAACTATAAGTCCAATTTTTTAAAAATATTTTTTAGTTATAATTTAATAAATTATGGAAAATAAAATAATCAAAAATGTCAGCTAACTTTATTATTACTTATTAATATGAAAATAAAGTTAGCAGACATCTGACAATTTTTAGAATTTTTTTTTTATTGAAAAAATTGTTACAATAAAAATTTCATTTGAAAAACTGTGAGTGCAATTTTAAAAAACTATTTTTAAGTTCTAATTTAATAAATGAAAAAATAAAAAATGTCAGCTAATTTTATTATAATAATTAGCGAACTTTCAATAATTTTTTTTTATTAATTAAATTAGAGTTAAAAAAATTGCATGTATAATTTAAAAAAAATTTCTACATGTGAAATTTTTTCTTTTAATAATTTTTCACTAAAATAAATTATAAAAATGAAAAAATGGCAAATTTAATTTTGATTACATTTTTTCTAATTACAGTAATAAACTGAAAATGATGAAAAAATAGCTGAATCATTGATTTTGTCAAAAATAATTAACTGTTGGAAGATTTAGGGGATGGATTGTCGGAAAAGAAGAATATTAAGAAGAAGAAAAGAGGAAGAAGGATAAAAAATAGTCTTAAAGGTTTGGGTTCTGGTATAAAGTATATAAATGGTGTTGTATTCTTTAAAAGGGCGACTACAAGAGGAAGAGAACCAGAGGAGGGATGTTGAAAATAAGTATATGGCTAAAGGCGTTCTTTCCTGGCGGATTTTGTTCAGAGCAGTTTGGTTCACGAACCGCGAAACAGCCAGCTATTTCTTCATCATCCCCGGAGCTAGTTTTTTAACACCGGTCTGCTAGGAATTCCTATCCGTTGTGATGTGAACATCTTTTTCCGGTTTCGTATTATTTTATTCGCTTGTCATTATTGCTTTACATTTATTATATTATATTACACTGAACTATATAATATTTTATTGTATTATTATACCTTTTTTATTCCCATTACAGTTCGTACGCTCAACATTTATCATCATCTATCTTGAGATTATCTGCCTGAACGTCAGTTGTTTAGTTATACCGGGGACGTTTTTCACCGATGTAATACAATATTATTATTACAATCTCAATCAACTGTGATTTGAATTTCTTCGGATTTTAATCCCAGGTATTTATATTTATTATTAATTTTAATTATAATTAGTATTTAGTAGATAAATCTAGAGAGTGAAGACTACTGACCATCTGGCGGATTATCGTAAGGTCATCGTTAATAGAGAGCAATATCCGTTCCGAAATTCCCGACTCGAGAAATAAAAGATAATAAATAGATGTATAAAAAATAAATGAGAAAGAAGAATAAAAAAATAGTAAAAGAAGAAATAAAGATGTATAAGAGAAACCACAGGTTTGGGAAGTAACTTTGATTTTTTTACGAGTCTCTTAGGATATATCTAGCCCCTCAGACTCAGCAAACTCGGGCAGCTAAATATTTAGCAATATAAAGCCATAGGTTTAAGGAACACCAGACATATAATTAGAGTCCTCGGGATCTCGTGAGAAAATGCTCCAACGCACAATGATTCTAGATCACGAAATATCGCGGTCTTTTTCACTCGCTAGCAATAACAGCTCTCTTTTTTTATTTATCCATACCACTTGTTTGTTAATAAAAAAACCAGCCACTGATGCCTGGGTAGATATAGATGCTTGCCAGTACTTAATACCAATTCACTCTGGCATTCACTCTTCCCTGGGTTTCCTCAGTTTCATCAATATTTTTTTCTATATTTAGATCTAAATTGAAGTAATATAAATAACTCTTGTTACAGACTGGGGTTATATATATATATATATATATATATATATATATATATATATTGTAGGAGCATGAAGACAAAGAACGTGAATCGGAACTCATTGAAGCATCAGGTGAGTGTATCAAACAGCATAATTAAAATTCTGTTCTATATCCCAGTACACCTGGTTGTTATTTAAGGCCACCCTTTCTCAAGAACTTATAAAACACACCGGTCGTTTTTATGTTTCAGCGATCGCCGTCTAAGTTTTTACTCACAGGTGAGCGATTATTATTATTATTGAAATTATTTTTATAAATTATTATTTTTTTAGGAAGAATAAAGCTTGGATTTATATGAAAATTAAGTTAGCCGACATTTATAAATTTTTAGAATTTTTTTTATTGAAAAAATGATTAAAAAAAATAAAAAAAAAAAAAATTGCACGTATAAAAAACTTCAAAAACTGTAAGTGCAATTTAAAAAAAAAAAATAAAAAAATTTAGAACGTCGGCTAACTTTAATGACATTGGATTTATATGAAAAATTTTAGTTTTGATTTATAAAGTAAAATTAATCTTTTAATTTATAAACAGAAAAAAAATCAAGTAAATAATTTTGAAGAACTTTTTTTGATTTAAGTAAATTTTACTTGATTCAAGAATTTTTCTCTTCATTCAATTTAGTTTTTTTTTTTTTTTTTCTGTGTAATATTGCATTAAATTAATAGCGCTCTTTTATAAAATTGATGCTATTAAAAAGCAATAAAAGCAGCGCTTAGCATTTGAATCGTATAAAGACCATCAATCTAAATTATAAATTCACCAACATAACAATTTTTCTATTAATTTCACAGCAATAGTCTATTCCAACATAATAATTTTCTCCCTGGATCCAATTTATAAGATTATCGATCGCAATTTTACGATTTAAAAATGTCCTTATAATCGTGAATTAACGCAACCAGCGAACTGGATCGCAAACTACTCGAATAGTTACAGTGTGCTTAGATTACACTTACTCGGGTAGAGATTATAGTATAAAGGCTTAGATCGCGGTTTTTTTTCTCAGCTATCTGCTTCTCCCAGTTTAGTTGAGATATCCTCGACATCCACATAGTAATAAACCATAAAAATAGGTACGTACACATAGAGAATATAATAGAACTAGGTACGGTTCTCATGTGTGTAGACCATGTATAGCCTCAAAGCTCTTATCCTGAGCCTGAGAGTGGGACGAGTCAACACGCTCGATCCTTCTTCTCCATCATAATGTCTTCGTATGTTGAGTTAAGTCTTTCTTTCTCTCCAGTACTTTACTTACTCCTTCTCTCCCACCTGGCATTTTGTAGGCATCCGGATAACCTGTTCGATGCTCAGCGTCAGTCGCGGGAACGCCGGATTTACCTGCGATACATTCAGACATTCTATCCCTTTGTATTTAACGTCTATTTATTATTGTCATCGTTAGTTACCTTTGTCTTTTTAAAATCACTCGACCAGTGCTCAATTATTGTAATTATCTAGTGATTTTATTTATCGTCATTAATTATTCAAGTGATGTGGATATTTAACAAGTGATCTTCTCAAGGATTCAAAAATTTCATTCAGGTAAGATTAATATTTCTTCTTTTAACATTTCTTCTTTGAGAGCTAGCTTATACAGCCCCTGGGTGTTGTAAATAATTAAATTAGTCTTAATTGATTTTTAAGACAGTAATAATTAGGTATAATAATATCAAAAAAATTATTAATAATTTATTTTAAAATTTAAAAATAGTTGTTGACAATTAATGAAAAAAAAAAAAAAAAAAAAAAACAAAAAAAAAAATACTTACTAGTATTAGAGATATTAAAAGTCCACCAAGTGTAATTTAAAAATTAAAAAAGAAGAAATAATTTTGTGAAGAAATGAAGATTAGTTAGAATTTTCTAACAGTTTAAGAAAGAAAACCAGCGTATGTGAATCATCACTTAGATATGTATACGTTAAAAAGTATTCATTCGTGTGATGTATTCCTTTCAAGAGTGAAAACGTAAGGTTTATTTCTGAAAAGAAACTGGTTTAAAGAATCGAGTACAAAAATAATACAAGAAACGTCGTTTATGTAGAAATAAGACAGCCGATTTATATCCATCAACAGATTTTTATTTCAAGCTAATTATATTAACTGATCATGATATTATTATAATTATTTCTTCTTATCAGAGGCTTAATTATAATTTTATGATAAAAAATCAGGGGATTTAAGTGTGTATCGGGTTAAAAAATGCTGTTGCGATGGTAATTAGGGTAAGAGCAAGACTGGTTTTTCTATTCACTAGCGTGATCCTGCTGGTTAAGTTTAGTTCATTGCTCTGTACTGTGTACTGTGCATGATCCACACGCGTACGTCCCTTCAACTTATATATAAACATATGTACAAGTTTCACTACGTTCAACACACAAGATACTGAGTACTTCCATTCTCAAGGTGACTTCTGCCAGTAATGGCGATTGTGACGCCCGCAATGGTAATACCTACCACCAGTATTTATATAAGACATTTATATAAGTATCTGACTACTGTGCGCTCCAAGGAAGTAATATTAACATACTGAGACATCATAAAGGACCGAGGACGAGGATGCTGGTATTTAACTGGAGATAAAGCGCATACAGCGAAAGCCAAGCAACAGGTGCAAGATTTTTAATCAGATTTTTGGGCTCCAGATTAAATCCTGGATAATCTAACGGGACATTTGTATGTTTAATGTTAACTAATCCTCAGGTAATTTAAAATCTATCCAGACTAATTCATTTTACAGTTATGGTGATTTTATGATGATAATCTTCCAAGAGACAGATGTCAAGTGATGGAAGAGTCTATAAATACGCAGTCTCAGGTTTTATTTTTATTTTTTTTTTCGACTTAATGTTTGGCTTTTTTTTAGAGTTTAATTTGCATCGATCGGATGTACTTTTTGTAAGGAAAAAAAAAAAAATGTTGTACGGACATACTTAGCCCGAGTAAAACAAGTTAAGTATAAAGAATCCAAGGGCGAGCATTTTTCTTTGTACATCTCGTCTTGCCTCGATAATCGGCACAAATTCTAGCCGAGGCATATCTTGCACGATATATGTTGTTTTATCATATTTATTTGCATTCTCAAGCCCTAAGTTTATTGAGAATAATTGCTGAGTAAGATTATTTTTTTTTAAACAGGTTATTATCTTGCTGTTTACTCCTTTTAATTTAATTATTATTGCTATTGTTATTGTTGTTACAATGATGCTGGGATTATAATGAAATGTAATTAAACTATTAGGAAAATTGTGCCGTTAATACTTTAAATAATTTATTGCAAGTTTGTAACAGCAAACATTTTTTTTTTTTTTTATGAGAAGAAATAATAATCGGGAATTAATTCTTCTGATAATTGTTTTTAATTAGGAGGTAGTTGTTTTAATGAGCGTTTTACTTGCTGTTACGAGGTAATTGTTGCTTTTTTTTTTTTTTTTTTTTTAAGATAAAATTGTTAAAGTTTTTTTTTTGTAGAATGAAATTTAAAAAGTTAAAAAGAATTATTTTTGTTTTTTAAAATAAATATTGGCACAGATGATTAAATTTAATAAGAAACGGAACAAGTGGCGCAAGAACTCACTTTTTATTGGCAATAAATTATTCTTCCACCGAAAATACTGGAGATCGCACATTTGTATGATTATTGATTATTTTTATTGAAAAGAAATCAAGTTTCGGTTAAAAGTTTGAGAAAATGCAAATATATAAAAATGTATTTTTTATTTCTTCTTTGAATGTTATTTAAAATTTTTTTACCGCTAGAACAGTCGTAAAAATGAGAAAATTACAATTATCGCGGACCGTAATGTGTGAAATTTTAATTGAAGTAATTAAAAATCTAACGGAACTACAATAATAATTTTTTTTGTAATAAAAATCAATATTTTTTATTATTATCTTCAGAAGAGTGAATTGAAGAATTTTTTTTTAGAAAATTAAAGAGTAAAAATTTTTTTTCACTGTGAAATTATTTATTTTACAAAATATATCAGTTAATTTATCATATTAATTTTATTTTTCACTGAATCAATAATCAATACACAGAAAGAAAGAAATATTTGATCGAAATAAGATTTATTTGTGCCAAAAATATAAAATAAGAAGTGTGTGTGTGTGTGTGTGTTTTTGATATAACTTTTAAGGTTCTAGGTCATTATATCCATTGTAATAATATCCAATGACAAAAATATCCAATAGCAAAAAAGTCCAATTCAAATATATCCAATCAAAAAATCCAATTTAGATGTATTCAATCAAAAAATATCTATTATTATTATTATCCAGCCCCCTTGCCCTTTGCTTCTCAAATTGTATCGAGAATCCATTTTTAACTGAAAAATTATAATAATATATTCATTAATTTACTGAAATTTTAATGATTAAATTTTCGAGAAAAAGTTACACTTAATAACTTTTTTCTTAAACCAAAAAATATTGTTAAAAATCAAAATCTCATTTCTTCCCAATATAATTTAAGCTACAAAGCTTTAAAGATTAAAACTATCAATAAAAACTCTTTAAAGAATAAATGAAGAAAATAAATTGTAACTTATTATTTTCCACCGCGGACTATTTACAGTTTTCATATAAATATAAATACATAAATATCGTGAGAAAATCCGTTATTGTCATACTCGTAGCTCCCGAGTGTCGTTGGAGGAGGAACAATAAAAGGGTCTTAAAATAAACCAGGTAGTTTCAAAAGTAGGTAAATACACTCCACTAGTTATTTTTTATTATATATATATATATATATATATATATATATGTATATCTCAACTCAGCTCCTCGTACATACACTTATGATGCGATTTTTAGGTTCACCCAGGCGTACTTCCCCATCGTGTATTCACCCAGTAAGTGCTCTACGTCTTGTTACTCACCACCGAGTAGCTACACATCCACTAGACAGAAGAAGAAACCATCAGCTCAACACTTAAAAGAAGAAATATGAAGAAGAAGAAGAAGAAGAAGAAGACTTTATCACTGATAGAAGGATTTAGTACGGAGTAATAAACTCAATATTATTTGTTACAATTTAATAAATTATTTTTTTATTCCAAATAAATTATATTAATATAAACAAAGCTTTATTATATCAAAATAAATATTTTTTTTTCCACCAAATAATATTTAGGAGTTTTATAAATATCTTAAATAAAAAATTATAATTTAATGAGATTATTTTTTTTATAATATCTTATATTTTTACTTAAAATTAGTTAAAAAATGAATTTTTTAATACCAATAAACGATTTATTGAGTAGCAATAAATAATTTGTTAAATATTTATTTGGTGGAAATAAATGGGCTTTAATTAATGATTTAGTAAGAAACTATTACAAAATTTTTTTAAATAAAACTAAATCTTTCTATTAGTGCATTAAACAGAAGAAGAAACCATCAGGTTACTGGTTAAAAAAAAGAAATAAGAAGAAGACAATATAAGTGCTAAAATGAAGGCCCGAGAAAAAATAATGCGTAGAACGTAAAACCCATTAACGGTATTTATTATCCGTGGAAGAGAAGAGATTTATGAAGTAAAGAAGCGATCAACACAGCAGGTCGACTGATAAGCCTTAGTATCGACAATCGTTCGTATCGGTCCACGGAGTTGTATTAGCAGCCGGGATTATATTGTATATTAAGAGTACTTAGTGTAGGTATTTTATAAATATATGCATGGTGATTTTTTATAAAAAGCCATAGTGAATGCACGAGGGCGTACCTACACGGTCTATGGGCTCGTTCAGAGTTCAGAATAAATTATTTTGTACGTCTTTAACATGGACTGATGTTGTTGCTGTTGTTGTTATTATTGTCAGTACAAGAGCCCGTACTCGTACCCATAACCTGTAGAACGCGAGGCCCAAGTTAAGACGTGTGTGGTGGGATGATATACCGGAAGTGTAGCCAGAGCGGCGGAACCTACTCGTACCCGGACGTTCGTTCAATGGAAAGTTTGTTTCTTCAGAGTTGCACCGAGAGCTGGACTCGAGAGTTTAGTTTCCACAACATCACCTGGACTGAATACGTGTCGAGCGTTCATCCAGTCTTTTCAGTTTCTTATATTTACAATTTTTAACATTTCTTCCCTTTGTTAGCTTCTTTTCGGGTGTACGGATGCATTTTGTGTTGGTACATTGTCCAACAGTGTTTTTATTTTCGATGTTACTTAATATTTAATAATATATTTGAATATAAAGGGAAGAATAACATATTGGTGAGAAATTCTCAGAGATGGTCAGCCAACACGCGATGGCTACTACAGTCCGTAAAGTTAAGCAGGAAAATCGCTTACGTCGACAGAATAATTTTAATAATGGTATTTTTGGTTTTATTGATAATTATTATGTTTGTTGGATAAGAGATTATTGTTACTTTTTATTTTTTTTAACGTTGTTTTAAGAACAATTGGTGGGTAATCAAGTATTAAGTTTTGGTGTGTGTATTTTAATTGCAGATGAAGAAACTGTATATAAGGCGATTTCATCATCGAAATCGTTGCCGAGGAGTTTAAGTAATCAAGGAAGAAATAATAGCGACTCCGGTGCAGTCTTACAAGTGGAGGGATTGCAGCAGAATATAATAATGCCACCTCTTTATGGGGAGGAACAAACTCCCAATCAAAACCAACAAAGTCTTCAAACTCACAGCAATAAATTTCCGGTATTTATTTTATTTTTATTCATTCTTAAAAAATTATTAATATTATTAATGAAAACTTTTGGTCAATAATAAAAATTAAAAATTTACTAAAATTTGAGAATTATGATAAAAAATTTTACTATAATAATTTATAAGTTTAGGTAATTTAAAAGGAGGTCCTTTCGCCGCCAATGTAAAATAAAAAATATTAGATTATGAGTAAATTAAATTTTTTTCTAATAGTTGAAGTCCTTATTTATCTAATAGTGAGGTTTAAATTATACTTTACCGGACAAATTTTTGAAAAAATAAAATTTTTAAATGTTAGTATTTGTTCAAAGGCTTACGAGAAAGTCAGACGTTTGCAGTATTTCTCGAATTATACTATCAGTCATGGATTAGATGAAGTAAAAAAAAAAACTAAAAATTAGATTTTCGAAATATTTAGGTTTCTTTTTTTGCAATAAAATATATCAGTTACCGAGATATTTATTGAGAAATTAATATTTAAAAATCACAAAAAATTCTCAAGTAACCTACATTAATATGGAGTCAAAATATTTGGCAACGTTGCGTAGCGCGGGAGCTTCAGACCATTCAATAAATTCAAATTAATTTATTTATTTACACTGACTGCAAAAACTTAAACGTGTTTAAGGTTATATTGTGCAAATGAAAATGTAAACAACCGAAGTACAACAGCGTTGCCAAATCACGGACAGGTTACTAGCAGCTGATTTGAAAGAGTCAAATTAATTTTTGTATTTAACTATTTTTTGATTAATACCTCATATACTATTTATTATTTAATTTTACGAATTTTTATGGGTTTCTTTTTTTAATTTATCGTATATTGACTACTAAAATTGTTTTGACTCAACTGGAGCGAAAGGATTTCCTTAAAAAATGAAATTTATAATGAGACTAAATTTTTTTTGCACGAGTCTATTCGGATATTTAATTCATAGGTAATGTATTAATGTTGATGCTAGTATATGTATTTATACATGTCACTTGTTACAGTAATGACTGTTATTATTGTCGTTACCTCACACTCATATCATTGCTCGTTACTTTTTACTAGATTTAATACTGCAAGTTTTATAGTGTAGAGCACTGTGAATACTTTTCTTCAACTCTTCTTCTCTGTTACATTATAAATAAAATAATATATAGACATGCATTGTGTTACGTTATGCACTTACTTCGGAAATCCCCGAGTCAATATTATATGAATATAAATTAAAGTCTATTCTCGTACAAGTGTGCACTTATAAAATCCAGCCAGACAGTTAATGCGGTGAAATAACGAGTCCAATTATACGGAGAAAATTATTAAGTAATAAGCATTTAAAACTGATTCAAAAATTTATGAAAAATTGGGCATAAAATCTATAAAATTAAAAAAATATAAAAGTTGGGATGAAAATTTCAATTATACTAAATTTAACTTAAAAAAAAATCCATTTTGTAATTTCCCTTATTATTTTAATTGTATAAATTAGTAAATATTTAACAACTATTTTACCCTCTTGTTCGCCCCTAAAATTTCTCTAAAGAGTTTTCACTAATGAAGAAGATATGTATACCATAAAAATGAATAAAATAGTATCAAATTACCTATTAACAATAATAGAAGAAAATTACTACTAATAATAGCAACAAAATACAATCAAGAAATTTCATAATCATACTATAGAGGTAGACAGTGTAAGATAATTAATTTATAATTGGAAATAAAAGAGCACGCAAGCATGTAAGGCAGTTGAATAACAGAAGACTAGTATACTCGTACTCGGTGAAATCAACTCGGACTAATCGTCCAACCAAACCCGGGCTGTTTGCTGTATTCAGGATTGCCGAAGGGGAAGAGAAGGGGATGTTACTATTCTTGGGAATTTTCTCAAGGGACTGTAACGACGTACACGGAAGACAAAGGCGTTGGGTACGCTACTGTTATCATCATCACCATCATCATCATCATCAACATGATCATCATCTGCGTTCTGTATACCGTTTACCGGAAACGCCGACGAGATTACGGGGATACCAGGACGTCACTTTTGCTTGCTTGCTAATCTCGATTTTCGAATCGGTCATCTTCATCATCTTTAGACCTAATTTTCATTCATTTTTCTTCATAAATAATATTATAATTTGAGATATAGAGAAGATGATATTTATATTGATCAACTATGAAAACTATCTAGCTACGACTGTATGATTAATTAGTTAACTCATAACGTCGTTTTATTTTAGTAAACTGAAGCATAAAAGAAGAAATATCATAAATTATTCAATTTTATTATTAGTTATATTTTTCTAGTTAAAGAAGAAATATATTAAATCTTTTTCATGTGTAATAATGTGTTAAAAATTAATTTAATAATAATAATAATAATCCACTACATTTTAACGCCTGGTTTATTTTCAGATTGAACGAGAAGTAGTTCTAAGTTCAGTGGACAAAAACACAAAGATACCAATCCTGCATGAGTACAACAAAAGGAGTGCACTAAGTCGCGCAATAGCTCCCGACGCCCCGGTCAAACAACAGGCTTGGGTTCAAGAGGTAAGCTTATTAATTTTTTAATAATTCTTTCAGCTCTTGTCAAGTTATCAGCCTCTAAAATAGGCAATAGCACACACTGGCTATATTTGCACAAGAGGAAGTTATTCTTCTTGAACACAATACAAGAAGAAATAAAATATTTCTCATGCATTATATGTCAGACGAGCTCATGTCAAATTGTAGACATATAAGTGTCTAAATCTCAACCAGCGCAACTCTGTCATCTATTACTATTACTATTAAGAGTATTTTCCCGCGAGCCGCGTCTGCAGCTGGCTCACACACGATTGTCCTAGATCTGCACTATATTCTGGGATTGTCACGAACGTGAAAGGCAAACTTCCGTAGGGAATCCATCGGCAACGTCAAGTGTCTCTTATAAGACTTAGACTTAACTTTTATATATATATATACTTATGTATACCCAATTCGGTTTATACATACATATATAAATGAAGAATAAACTATTTAATAGTGTTAGACAACTACTTTCTTATATATCTTCTCTCTAGTTCTTCTTATAATAGATATATAGATCCCCGGCTGCTACCGGCGCTTTATTCCATCCATACAAGATAAATGGATCCACTATCTATCCTCTGGTAAGACCCGCGTTCGCTTCTTCAATTTATAACTTATCTGCAACGCGTCCCATGTGTCATCATTTTATACGATATTTAATAAAACATCTTCCTTTTATCGTTTATTATCATCATGATTATGACATAGCTTCTTTCACTTCTAAAGAAGCTGCTATAAGTTAAAAAGCTTCGATTTGAATAATTGTTTTCCTTCGAGAGTTTTACATTGTATTCTTCTCTTGTCACACATGTTCATTTTTATACCTCATTAATTGTCTGATGATAATATTTCAATTTATTTCTTCTTTTTGATCCTGTTAGTTAGCATTAATTACCAGTCGATTATTAATGAAATCATATACAATCTGTACAGAACTTTCTTGTTCAATTATTCCTTTGATACAATTTTAAAAATTGTAAATATTCCCATGTACAATAGCAGTTTCATTCTTCATTCTTAACGGAGTTTCCTTCTATCAGGTAATTAATAATATTACAATGATTACTTATGATTTGTTTTCTTATATAGGCTACATTTATTCTTAATAGATGTGAAGTAACATATTTATATAAACGCCTTTCTAATAATTATCCATTATATTTATATTGAAATTTATAAATACGATTGTAATTTTTAGAAAACAAATAGCCTTAGAAAACTGTGAAGAAATGGTTTTAGAATTTAAATATTGTACTCATTAAACTTAACAACTTTGAACTTTAAAATATTCATTGCAGTTAGAAATGTTTATATGATTGATTGATTAATGTAATTGAATTATTAATGTAGATTGATTTTTTTTTCATTAATTATTATTGTAAATTTTCAACTTTCTGGACCACTTTCATCAAGTTTAGGTATTTGAATTTGTTTTATAAATATTGTAAGCGTTTAAAATTTTAATTTTAGTTTAGTAGGTTAGTTATTTAAAATTTTATTCTTTAGATTTATGAAGAAATTTAAGTATCAGTATTATTATTGTAATTATCATTTCTTCTTTTAGATTCGTTTTATTTAATATTTTTTTTTTAAATTATCAATCATAGATTTATTCTATATAATTGCATATTTTTTTTTTAAGATTATGACCAAGAAGATATATATTATTGTAGATTTTTTGGTCATGATACCGTTTTAAGCTAGATTATTTATTTTTAATTTTTCTGATTAAGTGAAATAAAAAAATTTATCCCGAATTTTTTTATTGTTATTCTATCTTCAATTTCTTCTTAATTAGAATAAATATTTATCTGCAAAAAAAAAATAATAATAATAATACCTTCGGTTGAATATAGTGACGCCTGTTGTAATTGGTCCGTGGGAGTAAGTTTTGCCATTGTTTGATGGATATATAACGCAATTATTATGAAAGCCAGTTAACCAGAATGTTAAAAAAATGGCGTACAGGCCGACTATATATCTAGACGTTGTATAAATGTATAGTAATAGACGGATTAAAAATGAAGCCAATCAATTAAAACTGTGAAGAAATAAATATAAACCTCTGATCAATGGGCTATATATTACAGAGTTAGCTGGTGAAACACAAGAAGAAAATACTACACATTAAAGTACGGGAGTAGACATTACACATTATATTATATATTTACGAAGACATAAATTAATATTTATCTTCGGAGAGACTTTCTTGTAACTAAAAGTCTTGTATGAGTTTTATTTTTTTAACTGTTTGTGCGTCTCTCTCCGTTTTTTCTCGTTACTTTTTATCCTTAGCTTCCAAGTTTCTCTTGTATATACATGCAATATAATATAATATAATATAAAAGTGTAGATCGAGATAGAGAGAGAGTCCGTTCTGTACTCCGTATGCGAGATGCGTGAGACAACATCGCGCGTCCTATCACGAAGACTTTAACTGTCGCTTGGGACTCTTATTATTCCAGTCGTATCTTTTCTCAGGATTTGACGTACGGTCAAAGACTCGGAAATTTTTCCTTACTATTTATTTATATATATATATATATATATATATGTATGTGAATATAATGCATATTATACAAACCTTAAATGATATATTGTTTTTTTTTTAAACGAAACTTTTATAAATTGCTTCGGTTAATAGTTATTTGATTTATTTTGACAGAGCAACCAGGTTGATCACCGACAGGATCATGTGCAAAATTTTCAACCCCAAGAGATTTATACGTAAGGATTTTTTCAATTATTTTTATTTCTTCTTTTTTAAGTTAAAAAAAAAAAAAAAAAAAAAAAAAAAAAAAACAATATTTCTTCTTTAAATAAAATCAATTTTTTAATTTGTCATAAAATTTTTTAGCATCAATTATTTAAATTATTAAAAATTTTTAATATTTCTTCTTTAAAGTCAAATTTTTAATGATTTTTTTCAATGACTAATTTAAAAAAAAATTAATCAATACTTTCTCAAAATTAAAAATTAATTTTTCAATAAAAAAAAAAAATACAATTTTAAATTTATATCTTTTCTCTATTTCATAATTACATAAAAAACTCAATATATCTCCAATAAATAAACCCGTATGATTTAATCAGGTCAACACCAACAGGAGCAGTCTCACGACTAACAAAATCCGAAGAGGACCGTACGAAATCACTTTCACGAACGTATCACACAATCAAGGACATGATTTCTAGTCGTTTTGGTCCCTCTCGAAAAGACACCGAGCCGGACGTAGAAGTAAGCTTGAACAACGTAACCGAAGAGATAAGAAAATCCAACAAGAGCATCGACGAAGAAGAAACCAAGAAGAGAGACCGGGAAAGTATCTACGGAAAATCCCGAGCTGAGCCTAACCCAGCAGTTAAAATGCAGCAGTACCCCCAAAACAATTCGTACAACGCCCAGCCGTACAACTCTTACTACCCAAGTTCTCAGAACGTAATTATGCAATCACCGGGACAATTACACCCAAGTCTTCCAGGTCAGTCTGCCCAGCTGCATGTTAGCCACATAACACCTCCCGGCGGGGTGCAAACCGTTCATCAAACCCAAGTCTCTCCTTACAATCCCCCAGGAGCGAATTCTAGCAGAAGCGATTACGTCGTCCAAGGCTCGAGCGGGATCCAGCATCAGATACAGAACCCCCCAGTCGGGAAACACGGGCTGCCCATGCAGCCAGTATCTTCTGCTAATCACCAGAGCTATCAGAGTCCCCAGCAGCTGCTCCACCAGTCGCAGATTCATCAGAGTCCTCGATTTTCCCATCAGCACATGCAGAACATGCATCAGCGGCAATTGATTCAACAGCAGCAGCACAATATGGGAGGTCAACAACCTAGTCCAAGATCAACAGCCAGAGCACAACAGCAATCCCTATTTCCTGGCGGTTTATCTTATCAGCAGTATCAACAAGCCAGACAGACTATCTCCAGATCTCAAATAGATTTACCGAGCACTTCCCGGCAGGCTCTTGATGTCAGAATTTTAGGGCAAGAGGTTTTCTACCACTACAACAAAGGCAGACCTGGTTATCAAGCTCCGCCTCAAGTCTACATCAAGCAAGATAACACCAGCCAGGAGAGCAACGAATTAAGGTCCTCGATGATGGAGAAGGCTATGTCCCAGCCCCATTTGTGCTATGATGATATTAACAATCAAGATATGGGTAATTGCAATAATCCAGATGGCTTATCCAAGGAAAACTACGAAATCACCGTCGAGGGCCAGGAGTTTGCTACTGATGATAATAACAAGAACGACGGCCACCGCAGGCTCAACGGAGACTTCAGGCCTGACACCAGTTTTGGAAACCGCAGAGATGATGCCAGGTCTTCGAAGAAAGAATTGGAAAAACTTAACCAGGAGCAAGACACCAGTAAAAGCGAGAAGAAAGACATTGAAAGGGAAGCTAATTCCAAGGAAACTTTCGCAGATCCCAAGAAGAATTTCTCTAAAGCGGAGGATAGGAAGGTTAATGGTGGAGAAGAAATGAAAAAGTCAGAGTTTAAGAAAGAGGATTTGGAAAGCGGAATGATGAGGCTCAAAATAAATCAAAATCAAGGATCTGGCTCGGATTATGATAAAGCGGGTCAGAGTTCCAGCAATGTCGACTCTGGAAGGGGATCTGCTGTATATTCCAGCGGTCGACGACCACCCCCCGTTGATCAGAATCATGGACAAGGTAGTTTTTTTTGTGGTATGTTGGGGTGGGATTGGAAAAAGAAAATTTTTTAAGGAGTTGAATACAGAAGAAAAATTAAATTGGTTTAAGAAATTATTTTTTAATTAAGAAAATTATTTAATTATTAATAATTATTAATTAAGATGATAAATTTTTGAATCAAATAAAATTTACTTAAATCAAGAAAAATTTCTTAGATCAAAAATTTTTTAACTTAAACCAAAACGATGAAGCTGTTAAAAATAATTTTTTTGGTTTAAGAATTTATAAAAAAAAATCAAATTAATTTTTTTTTCTGTGCATAGAGTTAAAAAGTGGAAAAAAAAAAAAAAAAAAACAATTTATGGTGTGTAATAATCTTTTTAAAATTTATTTTTAAACAGCTCGAGATTCTGAATGGGTGGATATTGTGGAATCTGAACTGCGTAGCATTTTAGAGCCATCAAGAGACATTCCGGCGATGGCTCACTCCACTCTCTCAGAGAGCGTATCTTCAGTGACGCCCCCGTTGCCGCCACTTTCCCCTCACGGAAGTCCTCGTACTCCGAGAAATCGATACACGTCAAGGTAAATATATCTATTAAGCTCTACACCATCATTACATTTATTATTATTTATATTTTTAATCAATTCACTTGAATTTACAGTTTACCGTACGGAGCAAAACCCAATTATACAGACTACGGAAAAAATACCGATAAAAGGAATTTCCAAAACAGCATCAAACATCGCAGCGCTTCTACGTCCAAAAAGGATGCTGCGAAAAAATTTTCACATCGTAAGTCGATTACTTTTCAACAAATTTTAAATTGATATTGATTAATCGATCGCTAACAATAACAAACTTTACTAACAAACTTTTCCTGCAGTTTTTGGAGTAGAAGCGACAGACTTGACTTCTACGACAACCGGGTTGGATTTGGACTCTATGTTGGATCGTAGTGACTCTGATTTGAGTACCAATGATGCAAGGACCATCAGAAAACAATTAGAAGGCTTGGAAAATATGTACAGCGAGGTAAATTTATTTATTATTTTTTTTAATGAAAAGAAGAATATATAATAAATTTTAATAATTAGGTAAAAATTACAATTTCAATATCAAATAATACTGTGTAGAATAAAAATAAAAATCAATGATTATATTTAAATTAATATTTTAATTACATATTTGAAAAATTTCAATAAAGAAAATTTTTAAAATTTTTATTTACAATCTGTAATTGCTTCAATTGCATTATTAAATTATTCTTCTCAATAAACAGTAATATAATTAAAAAATTTTTTATTTTACTATCCAACACAGTAATTATTGTAATTACTATTCTAAATTGGAGATACAATTATATTCTTCTTTCCGGGTAGATAAAAAACAAAAGAACAAAAGTGTTTGATAAGAATGTTTGATTGATAACAGGTGCTAAAATTGCTGGGCGGAAGTGTAAAGAAACGTAGAAAAGCTCGAGGCTTAACCAGCTACGGATCCGTATCTTCATTACCGACCTCTTCAGTGTCTTCGAGACCTATCGCTCGACATCACGATAAAAGGAGATCCCACGTTGTCGACGAGAGGATAAAAAAAGCCAAAGATATTAAGAGCATTAACAAGCGTTTTCAACGACTCGAGTCCCACGTAGTTACCCTGGCCCGTTCAGTGGCTCATTTGTCATCGGAAATGCGCACTCAGCATTTAATGATTCAAGAAATGGAGAACATTCGCGGAGAAATAGCTGCGCTGAGGACCCAAACCAGCATGGCGATGGTCAGGTCCCAGTCCCAGCCGCTAATTAAAGACGCCGAATTGCCAGCGCTGTCCAATCCTTCGAGGGTTAAAAAACTTACTAAATTTTTTGGGACCGAACCGCCGCTAATTCGGCTGTTTCTTCGCGAACTTGGATATGAGGTAAATATTATTTTTAATTACAATTTATTTTTCTTGTAATAAAATATTTAATTTTATTAAGTAATAAATTTTAAAATTTTATTTTAATTTAATTTAACAGAAATATGCAGCAGCTTTTGAAAAAGAAAAAGTTGGAATGGTAGAATTACCATATCTCAGCGAAGAAAGGCTTCAAAAAATGGGCGTACCTTTGGGACCGAGACTGAGGATTCTTCAAGAAGCTAGGATCTCCGTTTGCAAGGATCCTATTTACGTGGTGTAATATCAAAAGCGACGATAAGCTTGCAATAATAGCAAACAGAAACAACTCTTCAGCATTTTAATACGAGACAGATAAATAAAATAATACAGTATTACCAGCAGTTTTTTTCATCTTAAAATGGCTCAACATTAATGCCATTAAATAATTCATCTGCCAAAGAGAAAATGCTTTGAGAAGAAAATTTAATTAATTAAAAAAATATTAAAAAGAGCGATAAAAAAAAAAAAAAAAAACCGACCGAGGTTAACTTTGGAAATTGCTTTAGCTACCAAAGAGGAGACATTACTGCTCGCGAGTACCAAAAATAACTTTTTGGTTTGAGAATTTTTATACATGACGATACAATTATTAAACTAGCTATTACCTATTTTATACTTCCGATTGTACAGTTATGTTATAATAATGTTATATTCGATTATTTCTAACCATAATTTTATACATTTATAACAAACTCAATTGTAAAATTTTCCCATTACATCATTTATAACGATAATTACTACTGTATTAATTATTATCTTAATCATTGTCCTTATTATTTATTGTTAATTATTGTATTTAATAAACTTCTTACATTGTTTAAAAAAAAAAAAAAAAACAATTTTCACAAAACAATAGTTCAATTTATTCAATTTATAAATATAATTTTATGCGCGTGATGTGTATCTACTTACACGACGATATGTCACGACCTTTGATTCTTAATGGCTTAATCTCGGTTTTTTTCATTTTTATCTCTGTTATTTATTTAAAATAAATGTTCTCAAGAAAATCAACTTTCCTTAAAATAAAAAATTAAAGAAAAATATCGTTTTATAAAATAAAAAAAAAATCTATTTGACGTAATATTTTCGGCGAAGCTACCGCGTGACAGTTGGACCAGTTTTAACAGGAAATACACAATTTAACAATTGCGTCCAATTATTTTTCTAGCGGTCTCTCTACGTTAACCGAGTCTTTGATTGACCGATATAAGGCTGCTCTTGAATACTTTTGGTGATTCACCGTTTACTCTTTATTTTATTATTTTTATTCCTTTCTTCCGTACTATAAATTATACAATAGTAATTATAATTACTAACAAAAAAAAAAATAATAAAAATAATAATCATAGCACGCATTAATAACACAATTTTTTATTAAAAATTTAGTATCAAAATTTGTTATTAAAACTTTTTATTAAAAATTTAATAAAAATCACATTAATTTGCGTAATCAAACTCTAAAAGACACGTGCACACACACACACACATATGTAATTACAATAAAGATATGTATAATAATCCGAGATGAGTCAACTAAAGTTTAGCAAAACGATCCTATCTCAATTAACCTACGCCCCGTTTTAGATACTCCATGCTTGCCCTATCTTATAATAATAAAAAAAATAATAATAATAAATAATACATATATATGTCTAAGACTCGGAGCTTGAGTTTAAGATCCGCGAACATCTCATCTCATTCACTTCGATCCGAGCCGTCAAGACGTCAAGACATTATGAAGTACTACGCCTTATTTGTTCTTATCGGATTCGTCGGATTCTCTGTGTCCGAAGTTATTCAATTCCGAAATTGCGAATATCCTGAAGGTAATTCTAGATCCTAAGACGAGACATAAGCAATTATTATTATAATTTGTACTTATTTCAGGGACTAAGTTGAACTGCACAGTCCATGAAGTTAGAGTGAACCCTTGTGCTGAAGCTAGTCAGGAAAAGCCATGTCGTTTACAGAGGGGAGAAGATGCTAGTATTGCGTTTGATTACACTGCAAGTGAGTAATTATTCTTTGATTTTTGTGAAAGTGTTTAAAATAATTGTAAAAATAAAATTTTAAAAGAAGAATAAGTATGTATTTTATAAGCGAAAATTTTAGTTTTTCTTTGTAGAAATTTTTCCGAGTTAATTTTAACTCTAAATTGAGAAAAAATTGTTTCTATTAAGAATTTTTGATCTTGAAACAAAATTGTAATTTTTTGTTTGAAGAAATGGTCAAATTGATAAAAATAATTTTATTTTATTTTATTTTATTTTAGTGAAGATATTTTTTTGTTTAATAATTAAAATAGAAACAAAAATTAATTGATATTCTTCTATCAAAAAATTAAATTAATTGTTGACTAACAAATTCTTTAGTCAAAAAATTATTTTCTGAAACATAATTTATATTCTTCTTTAAAGTAAAAAATTCTTCGTTAAATCAAATAAAATTGTACTGAATTTTAATAATATTATTTACAATTGATTATGTGGAAATAATAGACATTGATGACCTAGACGTCAAAAAAACGACTTTAAATAAATAAATAATAATGTAATTTTAAATTTTTGCTAAAATGTAAATATTTTGAACTGATTTTTTCAGACTTTGAAGGCAACACTTTGGAAAGTCGCGCTTACTGGACTAATCAGGTGATCGATCTTCCCTTTGTCGGGATGGAAACGGACGCCTGCGCGAAAACAGTTTGTCCCGTTCAACCAGGACAAAAGCAAACTTATGACATTGCTATTCCCATCATGAAAGCATACCCCGCTGTAAGTAACTTTGTAAATAATTAAGCGTTTTAAAATGAATAGATATTATAAAAATAAAATTCCTCGAATTGAATGTGTAATCGAATTTAGATAACATACATTTGAAAGAGCGCTGGCCTCTCAATTGATAAATTGTCATCAGTTGCTATTCTTCACGAGTAACTCTCGTTATTAATAGCTCATAGATATTGTTTTGTTTAAAAAGAAAATTGCCAATACAATTTTTTAATTAACGTATTGCTAGAGCGATTTTTTCAATTTTCAATAATTACTTTCTTTATACTCACTCAGTTTGTAATCGGTTTTACCTTTTTTTTTTTTTAGAGAACCTATGACGTTAAATGGAGGATGTGGAATACTCAAAACCAGGAGTGCTGCTTTATCTTCGGAATAAAACTGCTAAAATAAAAAAAATAATTGAAATTTTTTGTACAAGTATTTTTAATAATACTTTATTATTCTGTAAATGTCTTGATTCATTAAAATAAAATCATTTAGTACCTTAAATTTGTTTTTGTTGTTTGTAAAAAGTTAAGAAATTTTTTTATATTCATTTTATTTTTATAGATAGAGTTTTATTTGTATCACTTACAAGTGTTTTACAAAGATTTGATATTTATAATATCTTTATATAATTATAATTTAAAATTCAAAATTTAGAATATAAAATATTAAACATTAAATATTCATTTTATTTTTATAATAATATAATAAAAATTAATTGGGATGTTAATTTTTTAAAGAAAAAAAAAAAAAAAAGCAAAAATAAACGCTGCGGACAGGATTCGAACCTGTGCGGGCATAGCCCATTGGATTTCGAGTCCAACTCCTTAACCACTCGGACACCGCAGCAGATGATAGATGTCGTAAAAAAAAAGACGTACTTGTATGTTTCACGCGTTAATATTTTATGATAATAAAATTGTTTGAAAATAATTATTAATTTAATTACTCAATTTAATATAAGTTTGATAAATTATTAAATTTTTTAATTTATCCGAGTTTGAAGTATATTTATTGATTATGAAAAAAAAAAAAAAAAATAAATAAAATTGTTTGATAGAAATAATAAAATTTTTATTTTAAAAATTTTCCAATTTTCAGAAAATTTCAATTTTAATTATCGGCTACGCATGCGCAAATGTAATTTCATAACACGTACTAAAAGATAGTGCCCTCTACTTTTATCTAATTCTATAAGCAAAATTTTATTACTAATTTTATGAACAAATAGGTACTAATTTAAAAAAATAAAATTACAATTAGATTCTTGCTATGTTAATAATTAGACGTTGGAAAAATTTACAGTTTTTATCGATTAGGAAATAAATAAAAATAAATAAATAAATTTCGAAGTGAGAATAACACTTCAAAATGGCGAAGCGCTAACTGTATTGAAAATAGTTAAGTTAAGTATATAAATATAATTTTTTCAAATAAAAATTCAAATTTTGACATTTATTACTTGAATAACTAATTTTTAAAAAAATCAAATAATTTAGAAAGCGAAACTTAAAAAATTACAGCTAACCTTAAAACTCAGCTGTTGAAACAAGAAAATCAAACAATCAATCATTAAAAATTATCATTTTAGTTGATAATTCGGTGACAAAAAATTTTAGAAATTTTATCTACTTTCTATAAAATTTCCACTAATTTGAATAAATGCCTCAGACCAACATACTGTACAATCATTCAATTACCAATTCTAATTAAAAAATTGATAATTTACAAATTTCCGATGATTAAAAATAAATAACTACAATGAAATACTAGAGCGAACTATAGAAAATAATAATAAACGTCGGAAGCACCAAGTAAAAGTTCCCAGCGCCGTATTCAAGAATTCCGATCGCCCGGCATCTTGTTTACAATTTTTAAAAGAAGACATTTTAAGAATAATAAAAAAAAATTTTTGTCCACTAAAAAATGTCAGAAAATCTTTAAAAAAATTTTTTTTAGTAATTAAAACTAACTAATTATTTTTATTTTCAGTTTAATTAAGTAAAAAGTGAATGAAGACGGCCCTGGGGTTTTAACTGTTGCTATTGCCTGCTGGCACAACTCACCAACAACTCACCTGTTGGCCTCGCTTGTGAACAGTTGATCTCTGTCGATCTGTGAGTTCAAACACAGTCCATACTAGATACACAATATCACATAAAATACATATATATAAGTACGTAATGTTAGTTAAATAAATACAGAACATTATATTAAATATATAATATATTAAACAGTTCGGGTACGATTTAACCGACAAGACTGCTATTAAATTACAAGCAAGTTCAGAGTTTAATTTTGCCTGTAAGAAACTTAATATAATTGTTCGGTAAATGATTATCGGTAATTATAGTTGGTGTCAAAGTTCAAGTAAACATTGAGTTCTGCAATTGTTAAAAGTAAATGCGGAGAATAATCCAGTAGTCTGTTTGTGGCCATAAAGGTAAGCTGCCAAAAATGTCATTGCTAAATTATTATATTAGTATGTAAATATATACGTGATATATGTGGTGAAATTCACCAAAATAATATTCAATTATTTTTTTTTAATTTACAAGAAATTTATGTGCTATATCTTACATGTGTGTGTGTATATATATTTATACGTATGAGTGGATGGATGTACAAATAATAAAAAGTGTGTACTGAAGAAATGAGGAAGAATAAGAATAAGATGGTACATATATATTGTATAGGTAAAGGTTGGTGTTGGGTCACGTTCCCAAGTTCCGTTCCCACGGAATCGCGATAACCGTGACGGTATTGCATGCTTTGCTCTAACTATATTATAACGATATAAGAATAAGTTTTTTAATTCCTTAAATATTTTTATCTATTACTGTCGCTAGTGTAATATTGATAAGCTATCAGTTGAAACTAAAATTTCGTTTTATTGTTTCAGAATTTCGAAGGTAACATCTTTATTAATGAAAATTAAGTTAGCCGGCATTTAAAAATTTTTAGAATTTTTTTTTTATCGAAAATTTATGATTATTACAAAAAAATTAAAAAAAAAATGTCACTTGTAAAAAACTTGAAAAACTGTAAGTGAAATTTTTTAAAAATATTTTTTTGTTTTCATTTAATTATTATTTAAGTATTATTCTTTACTAAAAAAAATACCGGTTGGAATATCAATTTAATGAATTTATTCATTAATTAATTGAATTCGAATAAAAATAACGGGTGAAATGATAATAATTAATGCTATTTGGTTATTGATACTATAAAAAAAGCAATACCAGTATTGAAGCATTCTCCTGCTAGAGATTTCTACACCTCAACGACATATGTAAATGCATTTCCTACCATTTCTTCACCGTCTTATTATTGTAGTTTAGTGACCTTCTTGTGTATGTGTAACATATATACATTCCTGAAGCATGATATGTTAATTTAATAGCCCCGCGTGTAACGCGTACTATTAATTTTTACCCATATTTATAAATATAAATACACATACAAGTAACAGCTAATAATAATAATAATAATAATTAACTATTATTAATGGAAGAATATTAATATTGTGATATTAAGTGACAAGTGCTGGATTATTATTTAATATTAAAATTAATTTTAAATTGCCACCCAGCAAATTGGCAAGACACTTAATTTTAATCTTTTAAGGACTTGGCACAATATGTAAGATGAACGGTGACCGACTATTAACCAATAAGGTAATCCTTATGCTGGGTCAATGTTTACTGGTTTTATATTACACCTTATATTAACCCTGGATACCTAATACCGCTTTGCAGAGACTTTCCTTTACGTATTTTTAAATTCTTTTACTTTTTAATTCTATTAGATTTTTTATTAATTTTTTTTTTTAACAAATAAATTATGGCAAAAAAAATGAAAATGAAGTTAGCCGACATTTCAAAATTTTTAGAAATTTTTTATTGAAAAAATTTTAATTAAAAAATTTCACATGTAAAAAACTTAAAAAACTATAAGTGCAATTTTTTAGAAATATTTTTAGACGCCTGCTAACTATAATAACAAAGTTAGCCGAGGTTTTTTTTTTTAATTATTAAATTAGAACTAAAAAATATTTTTTAAAAATTGCACTTTCAGTTTTTCGAGTTTTTTTTACAAATGAACATTTTTTTTGTTAAAAAAAATTAATAAATGTTTAAGTAACTGCTAATTTTAATGTAATTTTATTTATAGTTATTATTTAATGGTCAATTAATTTTTACAGATGATGAAGATTAAAGAGCCATGAATAAAAATCAATCAAGGATGATGCATGTGAACGGGCACAATCAAAACTCATCTCAGGAAATGGGTAAATTATTTACTGGTCTTCTCTATTATATTAATTAATTAATTGAGAACAATTTGATTGACGTTACGTGGCCATTGATGGCTTGAATATAATTGTCACTGTGGGTGTAGTTTAATTGATCCGGGGCGATTGTTTCGTCGACAATTGATTTTAGTCTCGTCAATATCAAAGTAGGTATGCTGTGTATGTATTATATGCAACGCGAAAATTCAAGTTACTTTTAGTTTTATTTACTCTAAAATAGGATGGGAGCGCCAGATATTAATTTTCAAGGCCTGTTGTACATTGTACAAACAAGTATTTAATTAAATTCAGCTATAATTGGAGGTTCAAGGCTTTGTTGTGATTATTCTGTTATCTTCAGGTTTTTATGGAAAACAGATATAATACTATAATGACTAAACTGTCGGGCGGGATTTTCGTCCGGCGTTTGCTTGCGTATTCAATCGTAAACTCGTCTATAAACGCTTAAAAGGGTTCGCCGTAACAAGAGACAAGACACGTAGCTGAGGATTCCAGTCAAGTAGAGAAGAGGTGAAGGCATTTGAGTGTAAATTACTGCCAGACTCTATAACGCTAAAGATCTTATAAACTATCGAGGAATAACAGACGAGAGGACTCTGCTTGGACGTGAGCAATTAACGCTGCGGTTTTCTGTTAATAATTTGTTACAGCTCATTGAGTTAAATAATTTAGTATACACAATAACTATTACATTTATGAGACATTTTTTTACAGAGAAAATTTTTTTATGTTTATTGAGTTTTTTTTTATTAAAGAAGAAATTTTTTGGTAACAATTACTTTTTTTTAATGAAGATAGATTTTATGTAAATATTTAAATTTATTCAAAGAGAATAATTATTAGTAAAAAAACATTTTTGATTAATTTATAAAATTGAAAAATAATAAATTAATTATGGAAAAAAATTTTTGAATTTAAATTGAATGATTAAAAGTATTTATTAAAAAAAGTGTGAATAATTATAATTACCAAAAAATTTTAATTATATTAATAACTAAAAACAATTTTCCTTAAACTTGAAAATAAATTGCTTTTATTTACTTAATATAAAAAAAAAAAAAAAACATTCAACGATTCTGTAAACACAAAAACATTTTTTATCTGTCAATATTATTAAAAAAAATGTTTTTCTTGACAAAACTACATTTTCCATTGACCTGAATAGAATTCAAACTTAAAATTGTTCAAACAAAAAATACTAAAATAACAAATTCTTTTGAAACACCGTTTTTTTCTCAGTAAAAAGGAAGCAAAGTAAAATAGAATATTTCGATAAAAAATTTCCTTACCAACTAATGAATATTAACAAAAAATCGACAGAATGAAAATTGATTACCGGTAACATCCGTACACACCTACTAAATCCTTTTAAATCAACTAACTAATGATTTCTTCCTTGCAGCCTTGGAAGCTCGCTCTTTTGCTTTTAGCATTTAAAAAAGCAATAAATTATCAGTATTGTTTGCTGTTTGATGTTTGATTTATTTAACTCCATAATCGATATTGAGCCTGTACATTCTGGATGAGTTAACAAAGCCCAACTATGAATACGAGTTACATTATTTGAATAATTGTATCGAACCCTACGGAAATATACAATTATGGCTTCCGCTAAACGCAGACTCAATTGTTGGCGAAATTTCATCAAAAATCAAGAAAATATTACCAAAAAAATTACTGTCAATAATTGAAAAAAAAAAAAAGAAGAATATAATTCAAGAAAGAAGCTATTAATAATTTATTATTATTATTATTATTGTTGTTATTGTATAACAAGTCTCAGGCTCAATTGTTGGCGAATTTTTATCAAAAATCAAGAAAATATTACCAAAAAATTATTGTCAGTAATTGAAAAGAAAGAAGAAGAATATAATTCAAAAAAGAAGCTATTAACAATAATTTATTATTGTTATTGCATAACAAGTGAATTGAGAGATTACTTATCTAGTAAACGATAAAAAAAGAGTAAGGAGGTTTATGTTACGCGTCATCTGAACAATCTCAACTCTCAACTATTATATTATCTGTTGTACAACAAAACTAAACTAAACGCGTTTGGTTGTTATTGATCGGTAGTCTATACCAAACCAGCTGTACTGTTACGCGAGTTCATGTGAGCGGTTCTGACAGTAGCGTTAGAACTGCCACTGAAAATACACATGTGCTGAATGCGCACTCTTACCAGCGCACCCTCGTTTTGTTATTAACTTTATTTATTGTTTACTTTTTTGTATTACTCGTTATTTCGCTTCTTACAGTACTAGTGAATTTATTTACTCCATTATTTATTTTTACAATAAATTATTTGTAAATACACATCAACATAAATAATCACTAAATTTAAGGACGTAACTTCACCGTAAATAACAAAAGTTATATATATGTAGATTTCTCATGTATAATGCTTCATATCGTAATATATTTAACATGCTAACAATGTCATTCAAGTAATGTTAAAAGTAATTTTTTTATCGGTGAATTTTTTTGTGGAAGCTTATGTTAATTTATTTTACTCCAATTATTGTCAAAGTAATTTTATGGATAAAATTTGTATTAATTAATGTTAATAAGCGCATAAATATTTATTGAGTTTTAAGTGAGGCCGAACACGTGTGCGCGCATTTATTATACATTTTTTTATTATTATTTAATATATTTTATTAGTTTCTTGTAAATCTATAAATTGTAAAATTTTTTTTTGATGTTTAGAATATTTAAGATTTAAAAATATTTTTAAATATTTATTTAAAAAAAAAAAAAAAAAAAAATGTGATTAGTGAAGGAGGTTATCTTAGTTTTAGTTAGTGATTTAAAACGTTCACCGAGAGGTCAGTTTTAAATTTAAAAAATGTCTGTAGAAATGATGAATACAATTGACGAAGCTGAGCAGGCTTGGAGTGAGTATTTTTATCAGAGAATATTTCAAGAAATTTTTTTATTTTCTGGCTCTTGAAAATATTCTTTTTTACATATGTGGAAAGAAAATTAGGAGTCAACATATGTACTGTGTTTATTTTTAGAAAAAGAAAATATTTTATTTTTATTTTTAAAATTAGGTATATATTTTATCAGTTAAAATTATAATTGAAAATAATAAAAATTAAATTGCAGATGAGATGTTGGAATGCGAGACAGGATCTCTCCTTGGGAGAGTAGCAGACCTCGAGAGACAGTCCTTGGCACAAAGGGACGAGATTGTTTGTCTTCGTGCGACTTTAGCGGACGCACTAAGACGCATTGCGCAGCTGGAAAATCGCGACAAAAGAGATGACGAGAAACACGAAAGGAAGAATGATAGATTGTTGTCATCACCGCTGAGAAATGGTCACATATCTATGAGGAGTAAGTATAATGCCCTTTTTTATACTAATGATAATTATGAATGACAATAAAATTGGCAGTCACTTGATAATTTTTTAATTTTATTTAACAAATAAATTTTTTTTGAAAAATTTCATTTATAATTTTTTTAAATTTCTACAAGTTGATTTGTTTTTCTCATTTTTTTTTTTTTGCCGTAATTTATTTTTTAAAAAAATTCTATAAAAATGATCAAATATCTCCTAAATTAATTTTCATTAATGATGTTCAATTAAATAATAGGAATTGAATATTAATATTATACACGAGGACGTATATTACGTATTGTGGAATTATCGTGCCAAGACACGATATCACTTGAATGAATTCGCCAGGTTGCCCCAAATATCCACCAATGTCTACGTGTACGATGGAATTATAATTACGTGCGTGACCTGGTTGATACCCCGGGTGGTATTAAATTTAAGCAACAAATATCGAGCGAGTCATAAGTATCAAGTATATTAACTCCTGCTTTTGTATCTTGCTATACGTGTAATAAGAGAACTCTCATTACAATCATCAGTACATGCACACATCATCAGGAAACTCTTCAAGGTCAATTTTGTTTCGAGGAGAAAGTTCGTGACAGTATTGTACTAAAATAAGTTTATGTTAAGAACGTGCATACGCTCTTCAGTCAGTGTGTGTATTTAAAATTTATATTGTTGAGACCGCTTCCGTTCTCATCTTCTCGCGGTACTTTCTCTATCCGTTTAAACAAATAATTACTGTTACTGTTACTGTTACTGTTGTTGGTTTTTAGTCGAAATTAAGTCGCTTTGTTGGATGGATCATATGAATGGACGGTTAATAATATACATTATTTAGTTGTAGTTGGTATAATTTTTTTTTTCTTCTTCTTCAGCAACCCAAAATTCGGCTCAAAAGGATGTGGTCAGAAACAGACAGACTAATTCACCGTGCCTGAAAAATTCATCGTCTTCTGGATCAAGTCAGGATGTTAGAGATTCTAATGTTAATTCTAGGAGGCCTGTTAGTTATACTGCACCTTCACAATTACCACAAAGGTTATTATTATTATTTTTTAAAAAAAATTAATGTTAAAATATTTACAACAACAATAATTATTATTATCAAATGTAATGTTCTCGCTAAATTTAAAAATATTATAATTAATTTTTGTTTTAAAAATTACAATTGCTTCGATGATTGGTCTAGCTCCTTATTTTTTAGAGGGTGATTTTTTAACATTTTGATGTAGCAATAGTCTAATTATAAATTATTTAAATGATCCAAACCAAAATAATATACCTCTATTATTAGATATTAAATTGTTTTTTAAAGTGATAATAAATTTTGAACTATGTGTTTTTTCATACAAATGGAAGATTTTCTAAAATGGAGTTAGACAATTTGCTAATTAGGACGTCGATATTATAAATAATATTAATATTTGTAATACAAAATAGTAATAATTTACCATCGTAAATATAAAATAAAAATAACTATTGTTATTTTTATTACCAATAGATAATATTTATTATTACTACTATCTTGTATCATAAATATTAGTATCACTCAATGATATTTTCTCTTATATATTGATGATAAAAATTATCTTGTAATTTTAAATATTATTATTATTATTATTATTAAAATTGAAATTAAATGCATGAATTTATTTTTAAAATAATAATGAAGACTAGAAATAATAATAAAATAATAAAAATTTATTTCAGGCGTTCAGTACACTATCAATCAACAAATTCATTGCACTCAGATAGTCCTAGTAGCAGTAGTGTTTCTCCTGTGCCATCACCAAGTCCTCGGGCAACTCCACTCCCAACTGCCAGGTAATACTTGTTCCTAAAAATAAAAACTTATATTATAATCATAACATAAATCTAATAAAATAACTATCAGCAGATCTCCAACAACAAGGTTATCAAATGGACCACCTCAAAGCAGTCTGAGGCGCGCAAAACGTTGGTCATCAACTGGTGACTTTATTCACTCGCCTCAGTCGCCGAACTCTCAATTAACAAGCTCCAGGTAATTTCCACAATTATAAATCCAAGCGCTCGCTTAATTATTTATTATTTATTATTTACCGTGTAAATTAAATTCATGATAGACTTACTAGTTATTTTGGGCCCTTATTGCACCGCATGCTTTTCGTTTGCATTGTCATTAATTTGTAGATTATCAACGTCGACCAAGTCACTGTTCAACCTGTTCAAGCCTCCAGTCCTGAACAACGTCAAGCATGGGTAATTAATTTCATTTGTGTGCTCTCACTATCGAATTCACTTTTATTATTTTTTTCTTAATATTTTATTTATTTCTAAACACTTATCTAGTAATTACTTATAATTATATATTTTAATTTACGTGATATAATTATGAGTGTTAACGTATGCGCATCGGCAGTGTCGAAGAAAGTTATTTGTTTCCGCTACGATCATGCAATCTTCCCACATAGACTTTCCCGTGTTTTATTTATTTCTTGTGTATCAAGTTCCAGTGATAGTTATAGCAAAAAATAAATAAAAAGTTTATAATAATATCTTACACGCCTTTCAAGGTTCCTCTTAACATTTATGTAACTTTTTTAATTGTTATCATGACTCAATCTAGAATCATTTTGTAGTAATAAAAATATTCCGCCATTGCCTGACGTCATCTGACGCATTCTACCGTACAGTAGTAGGAGACAATTATTTATCAGTGTCGGCATTACGGCTGTAACTAAAAAGTGTGTTAATATATCTAGTGTATTTAAAATCCTACTAAAAACTCTGTAAATACACTGAAAAAAAAATATTTTTAAATAATTATCTCTCAAGAATTATTCTAATAAATTTTATGTGAAAAAAAAGATTCTTAGAAAAAAAAAAAATCGATATTTATTTTTTCTACGTCGTTGAATAAATTTATAATTGATTGAACTTTTATAGAGCAAGAATCATTTAAAAAAAAAAATTCAATGAACTTGAAAAAAAAAAAATATTGAAAATTTTTTTTTTTTTAGTGTAATTACCCTTTAAAAAAAATAAAAATTAAATTAGCCATCTAAAAATTTTAATAATTTTTTTAAATGAAAAAAATAATAAAAATTCTATATGAAATTTTTTTTAAGTATTTTTTGACTTGTAATTTAATTAATGAAAAAAATTTTTGAACGGCTAATTTTAATATAATGAAAAAAATAAAAATTAATGTAAATATTTATTTTGTGAATTTAGTACCAGAGATATGCAGTACAACGAGTCAGAAGGTACAGTGCGTATGTACTTACGTGGCCGACCGATAGTCCTCCACGTTCCTACGTCCTTCATAGATACCTACGACCCACATAAAGTAAACACACCGCCTCAGAGCAAATTGAAGCTAGACTGGGTGTATGGATACAGAGGAAAGGATTGCCGTAGCAATTTGCATCTGTTGCCTACTGGAGAAATCGTCTACTTTGTCGCATCAGTGGTCGTCCTCTACAACATGGAAGAGCACTGTCAAAGGCACTACTTGGGACACACTGACGATGTTAAGTGTATCGCCATTCATCCCAATAAATTAGTTATCGCAACAGGTCAAGTTGCTGGACATGACAAGCGAGATGCTATGGTAGGTATTTACTCATTTGAGACATTGATTGATTCGAAGCTTCCATATCAGTTCAACTACTTGGAGATTTATAAAAATTAAGTTAGCCGACATGTAAAAATTTTTAGTTTTTTTTTTTTTTTTTTTTAAAATATTTTTTAGTTCTAATTTAGTAAATTAAAAAATTTCTTGACAATATTATAAAAATTTATCCTCCAAAGTAAATCCGGTTAGATGACATTTAAACAAGTAATAATAAAATAAAAAAAATTTTTCAGCCTCACATAAGAATATGGAATGCCGTGAGCCTGGCAACGCTGACTGTAATCGGTATTGGTGAGTTCGACGGATCGATTTGCTGCCTGTCATTCTCCAAAGCAGACGGCGGTAGTTATCTTTGTGCAATAGACGAGACTTCTGATCATAATATTTCAATCTGGGATTGGCAGAAGGGAGAACGTGGTACCAAAGTTACCGAGACCAAGGTATTGTTATTTTATTATTTATTATTATTTAGTTTATGCGATTACGGAGGTAGCAATTTCACTGTGAATTGGTCTTAAGTTGTAGACAGCTTGAAAGACCGTCTGATTTTCAATGGGATAATTTATAATAATTGAAATTGCAGTGCTCGGTAGACACGGTCGTGTGCGCAGACTGGCATCCGTTGGAACGCAACCAGATAGTATCCTGTGGCAAAGGACACGTATCATTTTGGTCGCTTGACAATGGTGGTATGCTTTATAAACGCATGGGGGTTTTTGAAGCCAGAGAGAAACCAAGATACGTAACATGTCTGGCGTTTAATCAAAATGGTGATGTCCTAACTGGTGATAGCAATGGAAATGTTATTGTTTGGGCAAGAGGTAATTTTTTTAAAAACTATAAACCAAAATTTATTATTATTATCATTATTATTATTAAAAATTATTTTTTTTTTTTTTTTTTCAAGGAACGAATACGATTGCAAATTTGGTAAAAAATTTGCACGAAGGATCAATATTCTCAATTTGTGTATTAAAAAGTGGAAACATTGTCACCGGAGGAGGAAAAGACGGCCGTATCCTATACTTGGACAACTCCCTGCAGCAAACTGGCGAGGGAGCTCAAATAGAAGACCATTTCGGAGGAATAAGAACCCTGTCAGAAGGCAGAGGGTCGCAGTTGCTGATTGGAACCACGAGAAATTGCATTTTAGTCGGAGACACTGAGATTGGATTTTGTCCAGCAATGCTGGGTCACACAGAAGAAGTTTGGGGTCTGGCTGCCCACCCCACGCTACCTCAGTTCGCAACTGCTGGCCACGACAGACTTCTTCAGATGTGGGACAGCTTGAGTCACTCCGTGGTGTGGAGCAAAGACATTGGCGAGCAGGCTCACAGCGTTTGCTTCTCACCTGACGGCAGTGTCATGGTAGTCGGATGTGTATCGGGAAAATGGCTGGTGATTGATAGCGAGTCCAGGGAATTTTATACTCATCACAATGATGGAACTGAAGCCCTTCAAGTCGCTAAATATTCACCCGACGGTATGCTTCTGGCTATTGGGTCAAGGGATAATTGCATTTATATTTATCAAATTAATGAGACTGCTAAGAAGTATAGCAGAGTTGGTAGATGTATGGTGAGTATTTAAAAAAATTTTTTTTTTCATTAAAAAATAATAAAATTTGTAAATAATGTAAAAAATAAATTTAAAAAAATTTTTTAGGGGCATTCGAGTTTCATAACTCATCTAGATTGGTCAGTAGACAGCCAATACCTTAGAAGTAACAGCGGAGATTACGAATTACTCTATTGGAATCCTCGAGTATGCAGACAAATTCCGCAATCATCAAACTTAAGAGATGTCGAATGGGCTTCACATACCTGTGTAATTTCATTTGAAACGATCGGAGTATGGCCAGAAGGTGCGGATGGTACGGATGTTAACAATTGTACTCGTAGCGGAGAAGGAAAATTACTAGCAACTGGAGATGACTTTGGTAAAGTCAGACTGTTCTCATACCCGGCATGCCAACCAAAGGTAATACAGAATTTATATTTCTTCCGACTACCAGTATATAAACTCAAGCTACTATTAACTATTTATTTTATAATTTTTATTAAAATAATAATAATAATAATAATAATAATAATAATAATAATTTATTTTACAGTCACTTTCATACACGTATGGCGGGCACTCAAGTCATGTAACAAATGTTACATTCCTTCACGATGACACACGTTTAGTATCAATAGGTGGGAACGACACGAGCGTTCTCCAGTGGATTGTGAATTAATCAGCCGATACATAATCACACAAGTCAAAAATATTTTTAATCAACACACCTAATGCACAATCAAAATAAACAGAGTCAGGAATGTTTCGAAAGTTTATTTTATATTGTATATATTATTATACAGTAAATATAAAATAAAAATACTATTATGATACCGTCCAAGTAATGTCAATTTTAACTGAGCGTGCAATTCAGACTTGTGTCCAGTTGTTTTTGTTATTGAAAAAAAAAAAAAAAAAAAATAATAATTATTATTTATTAAATATCAGAGTAATTATTTAAAGAAGAAATCTATTTTTCTGGCAAAAAAATATATAACTAAATTATTTTCAAGATTTAAATAATTTACAATAAATATTCCACTAATGCAATAATATTTTCCGTTTTAAAATACACACGCTCTACCAAAGTTTTTTTTTTTTTTAAATAATCGGTGTCAATATTCGATTGCACATTAATAATGTCAAATTAAAAATATTTATATTTATAAGTGTGTACAGTTAATTATTTTTTTTTTTTTTTTTTTTTTAAGTATTGCAATATTATTATAATTAAATTTATAAAAACAATACTATTATTTATATTTAATTAATGATAAAAAAATATACTTAAGCGATATAAATGTAAAAATATTTCTTACTATAATTATATGTGTTGATACTTTGGTAATTGCATTAATGCGAGTTGTGAAAAGTAAATCAATGAGTAAACATAAAATAAGTATACCTCGTATTGAATTGATTATTTCTACCTATCATACAATTGCGACACACAAGATGTAGTTATATGCTTAATATTACATAAAAGAATTTAAAATGTTATTCGTGTGTGCATAATCGACACCGCCGGTTAATAAGTATATATATTTAATTTGTTTAATTTATATGCCCGAGTACCTACATACATATAAATATAAATATATGTACTATGATTACCTCGCAATCGCTCCCGAGTATTTTATATTACTTACGCGCTGAAAGAGTTTAACTGTGATGTGTTAGAGCATATATACTGTGTAATGTATATTGTGTATGTTATATGGTATGGAATCAAGCCACAGACTTACGGGTACGGAAGTAGGACAACACTTTCCCTCGTCTTTCATTCGCGCTTGGTAAACCCATTGTTACCTCGCCTTCATGACTCTTATTGCTTATACAATTAACTTTTGTAAACACTTATCAATAAGTGTCACCCATCAGACAGAATTATATTACTTTTACTAGCTAACAACAATCATTGATGAAATCTGGATGATTAGCATAAGTAAAAGTGAATTTTAAAATCTAATAACTTGTACGGAGAAATGACAAAAAAAAAAAATTAAAAAAAAAATAATAATAATAATATTGTCATCCGATGACTAAGGGAATAGAGTGAGTGTGTGTTATGAAAAAGAAAAATAAAAGATAGTATCATATAGAGGAACCACTTGGCTACTTACATACATACCACTCCAAATCAAGGACCAGACCAACCAGACCGACCGGTTTTCTTTCTTCCTTCTTGCTCACCCCTAAACAGGATGCACTAAATTTTTTTTTTAGCTTCTCCCTCCTACGTCGCCTTTTTTACTCTGTATTTTATACAGGTGTCCTCTAAGACTCCAAACCATCCGAATCTCAACCCGGTTCAGTTTGCGTTATCTAAAAAATAATATTTATTACAAGTTATAACGTCATATCTACCCCGCAATTTACCCCCTCTCCTCTCCTCTCCTCTCCTCTCCTCTCCTCTCCTCCCATAAAGTTTTAAGATTAATCAGTTCAGTTTAAAAATCTTTATAATTTATTTATTATTTTTATTTTTATTTTTATTATAATATAATTAAGTAGTTTGACTAGAAGGTGGAATGTTTTATTTAGGGAAAAAGAAAGATAAAAAAAACCCTATGTAATGTTTGTCTTAGCCTAAACTTAACCTAATTTTATATTTGAGGAAGGGGTGTGCTTTTTTGATTTTACACACATCCTTAAGTATTTCTAATTGGTCAAATTTAGTATTATAAAATTTAATTGACATATCTTTGATATATTCACTTAGCATAGGAATAGAATACATTTTATTTAAATCTAAAGTTTTAATTCTAGGTTTAATGTATTTGATCATTTTTAGGCTCATTTGTTCTTTAATACTTGAAGCTTATTATAATTAGTTTTGCACATATTTTTATACATAATAATGATTTTGTTCTTTTCGCTAACTGTACTTCTTTTTAGAAGATTTTTTTTAAGATTAATCTATAGCATACTTACATATAACAGTGGTCAGAGCTGACACCGCTTGCGAGAGCCGCTCAAGTGGTGCCATCTAGATTCAACCTCAAAAAACTCCAGAATATTGTATCCAATATCAAAACAGGTGATGGATTTTTTATGTTATCTTATTTAGATTGAGTAACTTGATATTTGATATGATATAAGCTGAAAATGAAAATAAAAGACGAGTTATATAAGGATGAAAAGGAATATTTCTAGTGACCAGAAGCCAAAAGTTATAAGCCCTTACATCCTTGTAATTTACAATGGCGATCGAGACATCGCACGTCTTGGGAGTGAAGACGATGCGACATGATGATGTGTCCTTATGACCACAGAATACTCAAAGAGCTGCATATTCACGTGCATTGTTGCACGACACTCTTCCTTGACATGGCTTGGCGCAAGAATGCTTCAACGTGTGATACTTGCTAACGAATTGTCTGCATCAACTTTTTTTTACTTTTTTAGTAATTTGAATATCTGTACATACATTATCTTCTCCGATTCTATTGTCCGCACAAATCAGCAGCGAGTTCTATTGCTTACTTATACAATATTCTATGTATGTATAATACAATACACATATCAGCTCATGTTATCGTAGATATATATATATTTTATATTTTGAAATTTATATATTGATAAGGAAACTACTTTCAATTATCACACAACTTCCTTCCGGTTATGATTATTCAATTGTATCAATAATTAACCGCGATTCTAATCAGTTGCGTTGTGAAAGTAATACATCTAAAAAAAAATTTGTAATTATAATCGCTTTTATTATAATTATTAGTTTTATTTTTATTATAAATTATTATTTACCTAGTAAAAAATTTTTTTTGGTTTGAATTATTTATATAGTCTTCTTGAAGATTTTTTGGAGTTAACTATTTTTTTTTTTACAATGTAAAAAATTATATATTTAATTTTTTTTTATTATCACAGTATATTATTAAATATTAATAAACTTGATTTGTAATTTTTTATAATCATAATAATAATTAGCTTATATCTTCAAAGCTGAAAAAAAAATATTGTTATTATTACTTGATACATTAATAAAAAAATGTTAATTATTAATAATAATTAATTTTTTATATAAATCATATTAAAAATAAATAAATAAATAATAATAATAAAATAGAAAATGAAAATAACTATAAGAAGAAATATATGATGAATTGTTAGGGAGTTTTGTTTATCATTTTTTATGTTTGTTAAGAGCTTGAAATAATGAATAGTAAGAGTGAGACTATCACGAAATATAAGAAAAATATGAGAATGAGAGTAAAAAAACGTAAAGAAAAAAAAACATTAAGAGACTGAACCACTGAAAGGGAAAAAGAAACTGGGAGGTGCAGAGTGTAAGTGGTCTGGTGTATCGTATAATGCCGTTTTGCTGTGTATACATGAAACTGAGTGAGAAATGAAGCTCGCACAACGTTATAACTAAAAAGAGAAAAGATTAAAAATAAAAAACTGTCCATAAGTATATCTATATATATATATATAAGTACTACAGTTGAGACGAAACAGGTTCTGTTATTCCTGTGGCGGTTTGGAAGATGCTGAAAGAGAGAGACTCGCCAGCACGGAAGAAAGACAAGTAAAAAATAAAAGCATAGTAACGTAAAAAAAACGTTGGAAAAAAAAAACCCCATGGCAAATTACTTCACTCTTCAGACTTGAGGTCTCTTATTCGCAGACCCATCACTTATTTTTATTATTAACTACAAAATCTTTAGCCAGTCATACCAAGAAACCTTCAGCGAGTTCAAGCACATGGGACTATGGGAGTATTGCTTCAAAGATTTTCGGTTTCCGCAGTTTCAATTCGACGAATTATATAATGGATGTTATCATGTATTCTCTGACAAGCTCCATCCGTTTCGAGAATGGCTGCTTCCGTTCTGGTTGATGTCGGTCCAATTTTTCGTAACTGTTGCTCTGATGTTGTCATTTTTCGGGCAAGCGGTCATAGCTCTAGTTCTAGTACGTTGGCCTCTCAGATTCGTGCTGCGATACGAGTGGATACTATCTTCGATCGCTTGCATTTGCGATTTAATAGCCGGTAAGTACACATTGTATTTTTTTAATTACTACTTATAAATCTTTGTTACTAAAAAAATAAACTTTAAATTTTTTAGGAGTTTTTTTGTTCCTGGCGGTGGCAATTTTCGGCGGCCAATGTTGGAGACGCGACTGGCTGCTCTACCCGAACTTCAACTACCTGTCGTGGTCTTACGGGCTGGGAGTAATTTCATTTATGTTCCACATCGTCGGGGCATTTTTCCTCTACCTTGACGCCCGAGCTGGCTACAAATTGCGAAAGCAATCGAGAAATTTGGTGGTGCAAATGCAACCTAATCCCCAAAGCCACCACGGGTCTCACCATGGCTCTCATTTCGGGTCCCAGCACAGTTCCCATCACCGCATGGGAGGATTTGTATAAACCCATATCAATATTATTAATTTTAATTAATACAATTAATTAGACTTACTAAAATGTAATCGAAGCCGTCCATTAATGTTAACACCGCGTCGCTTGCGTCAATTTTAAGTACACGTTAAAATTATTTTATTTTCTTACTGCATATTAATATTATATTATACACTTTTTATACTTATGGTAATTTAAAAATAATAAAATATGAAATTATTATAAATTATATATTAAAATATTGTAATATGCCTCGTAAATAATTTTAAAGTAGATAATGGAGATCGCATGTTTGAATGTTTAAAAAATAAATATAAATTAATGTGCAATGAGAATAGATTAAACTATTATTTTTTAGGTCATGCAATAAGTTTTAGCGATTTACTTTACCTGGTACCGAGCAATTAACTGCAATGTCGATGACCTCGTTGATCGTTTCCAATGATGGGTTGCCGTCCAGAACTATAAGTTTAGCTTTCTCAAATCCCGATCGATTATCTCGGACTAAATTCGGCTCCATTGAGTTTAGCAAGTCCATTTCACCGAATCCAAAGTGACACTCGCCATTTATATCTATTATTCCGGTGTATCTAAAAATTTATTATTATTTTAAATTGAGACATTGATTTTTCATTAAAATTAACTTAGCTATAAGTGCAATTTTTTAAAAATATTTTTTAGTTCTAATTTAATAAATGAAAAAAAAAAAAAAAAATTAAAAACGTCGGCTGAGAAGTATTATAAAAATTATTCTAATTTTTAATTTTTTTTTCTTGAAATTTTTATAACAAATCAATTGTTGTAAAAAAAAATTCGCACTTTTAATTTCTACATGTGGAATTTTTTTCATTACAATTTAATTGTAATAAAAATCTAAAAAATTATTTATGAAAATTAAGTTAGCTGATATTTAAAATTCTCGAAATTTTTTTTATTAAAAAAAAATTTAATTTGTAAAAAACTAAAAGTGTAATTTTTTAAAAATAATTTTATAATTCTAGATCAATAAAAAAAAATCAATATGAATAGTTATTTTTTTTTTGAATTAAAAAGTTTCTACCTCGCAGTATTAGCACCTGACAGAATCTTAATCCGTCCATTTTTGCCAAAGCTCCGAAAAATTTCCAGGCCTGGTTGATCATCACCGACGACAGTAATAAATTTAGTCTCTCCAACTCCCAAAGCCAGAAGACTAGCGGCAATGTTTCTGGCCACTCCTCCAAAACTTTTCCTACTAACTCCTTTATTTGTCCGGCCGTCAAACTGAAATAACAAACAAAAGTTAAAAAAACTCAGAAAGTCTAACTATAGTCCAGCTAAATTTTTAAATACCAACATGTGTAACTTTAAAACAACATTTATAAATACAGGCAATGTAAGTAAAACTGTCATACGTCGATAGCGAGACATTAAATAAAATTAGCGGCAGCGATAAGGTGGTTGTCCTTAGCTAAATTTAAACTTTGCCAAGTTATTATATGTAAATGCAGGAGCTACATACAGGTATTATATTATACACGCGATGCATTTAATAAACGCCATTTAAATAACTCAATAATTTTAGATGGAGGAGATTGAGATAAAAATTGTGATGTTGATCCAGATGCTCTCGCTCGCCTTTTGATTATTTTTTATTCAACCGTTGCTTAGTCAGAAAAAAAGCAAACTTGATAAATAAAACTATCTATAATAAAATATATAAATAATATAACGTGACTGTGGAGATGGAGATGGATAAAGTGCGCAAGCTCTCAAGCTCGAGTTAATGTCAGAGAGCCAGAGCAGTTGCTCGAACATTTTGAGGCGCTACTGTGTAGCGGTCGACACAGCAGCCAGGGACAGAGAATGGTCACGATGACGACAACCACGACAACTGAGCTTTAACACCAAGCTCGTACGAGTTTGGTCGTGAAAAAAACATCAGTTGGGAAGAAATATTTATTGACAGTCAGCTGTCTTAATTATCTGAAAGGTCAAGTAATGTTTATTAAGTTGACATAATTAAGAAGAAAAAAAAGTTTGTGAAGTTACCAGTATGACTATCTGATGTGTCCGAGTAATTCAGCATACATAAATTGATTAGTGTGCTGTTTTGTGTGTGTGTGTGTGTGTGCAACCAAGCTGAGTGGGTGGGTGTTTGTGACAATTCGTAAAGACCCGCGCCATCTTCGTGCCCGAGATTGGCTTTTCGAGCTTAGTGTGTGCCATTACATTGTCAGAAACACAAACATACACTCGAAAATTATTGATATAATATATATCGAGTGGATATATATGTTGTATTGTGGGTGATTTTTTTTTTTATTTAATATTTTAATCTGATAATCGGTGTTAAAAATTCAGGAAGAAAACTCTACTGACACGCGAGTTTTGTAACTTTGATAAATAATATTTGTTTAATTATTTAATAGTCATGTGTCTAGTTAACAATTACAATATGATTATTATTTTCGGTAAAATAAAATTATTGACCAAAAAAAAATTACATGGTATTGAAACAAGGTATTTATCTGTGAAGACATTAAGTCAGGCGGCTAATCACTCTATTCACCGGTGATTATCGATGATTTATAAATACATCCAGTACCTGATAAATGTTTTTGCCATTAGGTATTTTTATTAAGTAAATAAATGAGTGAAAAAATATATTAAATAAAATAAAAGAAGACTATTAAAAGATTAATGTATCAAGATAAATGACCTGGAATTGGAGAAAGGATTTCTTCCCTTCGGGCGATGATTACTCGGTAATAAACTTTGTAAAACGATTATTTAGTGTTAGTGGTAATTTTAATTTAAATTTAAATTGTACTTGTAACAGTGTTTTAATAAGCAGTGGTGATTCCGAGGATGGTGACGGTGATGTCGGTGGTGGCGGCGGCGGCGGCGGCGGTCGTGCTGATACATTTATTATTACACCGAGATTTTATCTACCCAATGGTTTTTTGACATCTCAATTATATGGTTAGTATATCTTTATTATTAATTAATTATTTAATACTATAATTAACAATTAAAAATAATAATATTATTTCAGGTTTTGAATTGTTTGGTTTGAGGTTAGTTTCATCAGAAAAAATAAAATATACTGTTAATAATTAGCTAATTAACGAAATCCTTAATTAATGGTAGTGTTTGAGTTGGATTAAATTATATGTGAGTTGGCTTAATCGATTGATGTTTATCGTAGTTAAAATATGGGTGGAGAATAGAGAAGAGGTGATTGAAATTTATATTACTTTTTCGTTCCCAAGATAAAATCATGTTTACGAGGGTGAAAAAAAAAGTAGGTGATTGCGGGACGAGGGTCTACGAGACACAGATTAAGAATACAAAGAGCCTTAAAGGGCTTTTTTTTTATCAACATAAATATCTATACATCTATATCAATGTACAATACCCACACACATAATATTATCTGTACATATATATATATATATATATATCAATACCAACATTTCTATATAGATTTGAGGGTTGCAAACTCGGCGGGACTAGGCGCACAAATAGAGGTCAAAGGGTATATTGCATAACTCTATAATAATATATGGATAATTTTAAAATATCACTTTTAATTAATTATCCTTATCCTATCGTCGGATTTGGTCAGCAATTAATCAATCATTTTATATTTGGATATTTTAAAATGGACAAAAATTTAATCTAAAATTAATTATTTAAAAAAAAATTTTTTTTTTTTAGCTATTTGGTAAATTAAATTTAAGATTATTATTTGTGTTTTTAGTAATAAAGCATGTACTATTTTATGTATAAATAAGTTCTATTAAGCACATAAACACGTGATTGTGTGAATTATATTTTATATCTTGGCAACGGTAACAGCAGAGCATTAATATACCTCGAGCACGATATAGTCGTTGTGTGCTTTGATAATGTAACAGCTATTGGATCGATGATAATACACGATAGAATACAATAAAACTGGTGTATATAATACAGATATTACAACATACAGACTATAATACACATCGGTGACATTTGATTAGCTAATAGATTTGCTATTATTATGTATTTTTATAACATTCAAATATAAATTAATCGCGTGTAAAACCAAGACACTATTGCCAAATACCAAGACGTGTAATTAATTTAAGTCTAAAAGTTATTTATATTATTTTAAAAGGTAATATTTTTCGTTTCAGGGTGTTACTTGATCAACACGCAGAAGCTCATGTGATAACGTTTCCAGACTTGAGCTTTAATCATTAAATCACACTAATAAATACTACTGCTGATAATAGTACTAACAATAATAGTAATAATCATAATAACAACTAAAAAAAAAATAATAGTAATAATACTGATTATTATTATTGATAAAAAAAAAAAAAAAAAAGGCGATAGAGTTAAGAGATCATTTGAGAAATTTGATAGAGTATGATGGTGATGCTGCTGCAACGTCTTACCGCCCCACAGTCGACATACTCTTTGGAAAATAAGACTAATTATTTGTGCGATTATTTTGAGAAACAAGATAATAATAATAATAATAATAACAATAACAATACTTCTAATTCAAGTAATAATAATCAGCAAGTTTGCTGTGACAACGAGTTTAATTCAATTGGTATAAATAATAATACTTATTACTGTAAAAATAACAATTATAGTAATAACAATATTAATACACAGAGTGATAAAGATAAACTACGTACAAGCGTTTGCTATCATAATAAAACAGTAATTACAAATAATAATAATAATAAAAATAATAGCAGTAACAATAACAACAACGGTTATAACGAAGAGGACACTGAGGACGACCAACAGTTATTGGCACGAGATAAGTTTCAAAACAAAAAGCATCAAGAGACAATTATAACAAACAGTTTAACAACCGCGTCAACGACAACTGCAGGTACAGCAATTACAGGAGCATCAGCAGCAGCAGCAGCATCAGCAGCAGCAGCATCTGCGGGTGCTGCGGCATCTGGTACGACGTCGACATTGTCGGCGTCACAAGGACGTTTTTGTGCTCCTGGTCAAGGTGTCGCGATGCGATATTATCGATTATGGATATACGCTTCTAATATAGTTCTTCTTGGGAGTGCTATCGGTTTAGCAGCCGCGGTTGCCCGTACCCTGTTGTTCACCAGTGATCCACGCCGGTATTTGATACCCGGAGTGCCAAGAGCACTTGACCCAACTGCATTGTACGCTTATCTTGCATTGGCCACACAATTGGGCCTGTTGCAATTACTCGGTTGCATAGCAGCGCGACGTCTCAGCGCTCGTCTGCTCAATGCCTATTGGCTGCTGCTTTTGGCCCTGCTCTTCGGTGATACCATTATCGGAGTCGCCTGGATATTCCGGTTCGAGAGAATAAGGGCAGAGTTGAGACCCAGTTTGAGGCTCAAGCTTCAACTTGATTACGGAAGAGACTTACGGTTCAGCGACCAATGGGATCAATTACAGCGGGAGTTCTCCTGCTGCGGTATCGTCGGCCCCAGTGATTTCGACGGTCAATTTAATTATCCGGACTCTTGCTGTCCAGTGGTGGAAACATTTGTCAAGGATTCCATCACCACGGCGACTGTTTTTGACAGGAGCTCCGGTCAAGGAAATATAATTTACAATATCAACGAGACGAATATAAATATCGTGGGCATTGGAACTGATAATGATGCTGACGGCGGGAATCTCGTTGACGAGGGCGGTGGGTGTCAGCAACCATTTGCCAACGGCTGCGAAGAGTATTTGATGGGTTGGTTGCGCAAGACAGCCGATTTATTATTCGTCCTGGGATATTGCGTGATGGCCTTCGCTAAGCTCTGCTTTCTCGGGATTCTCAGATACGAAATAAGAGAAATGATCCAGAAGATCAGACTTCTGAGGGAACCACCGCCCCCTGCTACCTCCCAGTATATTCAATCACTCTGCCAGCCTGTCCACGCACCCGCGCCAATCCCCGCGGCAACAACTGCCGCGGCTACTACCATGACGGCGTTGACGGCAGCTACCACGACCAATACCACGACCATGATGATGATGACCGGGTCTGATCAAAGGGGTAGTTGCGGTGGTGGTGATAGTGCTGCAGCAATGCCATCCATCACAGGTATGAGTGACTCTCTGGACAATAGTAATGTGTATTATGCCAGTGGTGGTGGTGGTGGTGGTGGTGGTAGTAGTAGTATTGGTGGATCCAGACGAACAACGTTACCAATTGTTGTATCCTCTTTTTGTTCTGCTGATGCTGTCATTAATAATAATAAATCACCATTTAATTTCGGTAGGAATTAATCACTGGCATCTTTCACTTCACTGCTTTTCTACAAGCAAAACAAACGGACTATTTATAAGTGCACGCCTCAAATCCTCATCTTATAAATAAGTTTTATTTCTGAAATTTTTAAAAAGTCTAGTTAGTTTTTTAATATTTTTTAAATTTTATTCTTACCGATTATTATATTTTGTTTGTTGTTGTTGTAGATAGTGACATTATTACGGCATTGTATATAAAAAATAAGATATGTAAAGAAGGAGATACTGTCAATTCATTTTTTTTTTTTTTTAATTACAATAAAATAAACAAGAATTAAAATTTTTAATAGAATTGTCCTGTTAAAAATCTGAAACACAAAAAAATAATAAAATTAATTAGATGCATTTTTAAAAAATAGTTATGTACATAAATATTACTAATTAAATAATGATACTGAAGTTGGTAAAAGTAATTTTAAAAATTTTTATTAATTTTTTTCATAATAATTTTATTACATACTAAAAAATTTTTTAACATTTACCAACTTCAATTTCATTGAAATAATTTATATGAATGACTTTTTTGGATGAAGCTGTATTGAAATCAATAGTTTACTTATTAAAAAAAAAAAAATTCCATGTATTAGAAAGAATGTAGAGACGATTTGTGATAAAACGGGCGAAAATGAAGGACCTGGCGGTTGTTGAGGCGTGCAATAAAATAATACTCACTCGACATCAGTAGCAAATCCTTTAGTCCACACTTGGCTTGCATGGTATCTGAAATAATTAAAAAAAAATTACCACACGTCACTCACGTCATGCACAATTCACAAAATCAACCAAATAGATTAATAAAAAAATAAAAAAGCAAGTCTATGTATGTTTGTATGATAAACAGGTAACAACAATATACCTCAACTGCCAGCGGCTCAACATCTTATCAACTATCATCACCAGGATCACACTAGTAATAAACATTCATTTTTGTACACGAGTAATCTCCAGCAGCAGCAGCAGCAGCAGCAGCAGCAACAAGACACCGGGGCTGATAGTGATACCAACAGCCATTGCGCTCTGATCCTCGAGGAGTCCTCGACGCCGACCCCCCCGGTCACCCAGAGGAACTGTCATCATCCGCTGATCACCGGTCTCAGGGAGAGCAAGAGCAAAAACAACGGAAATAATAACTACGAAATGCGGGAGTTTAACCGGCGGTACTTGATAGCCAATGGCGACCCTTCCAGCCCGGCAATCACCGGCAATCAGCCCGGTATTAAAATCATCACCCAAAGCAAACGAACTTGACTATGGAGATGGTGGCGGGACATGTTAAATCGTTTTTTTTACAGAACTAATAGACCTGTCGAGCTTGCTTCGAGCTTTCACAAATAGATTTATATTAATATTAATATAATAATTATTACAACAACAATAAATATATTTAATGATAATAATATTAAGTATACACAAGAATAAATATATATATATTTTTTTTTGTTATTTTTTTTTGTGGTAAAAAGAGTGGTTGTAATATATTTGATGTTAAGACTGAGAAATAACGCGTCGGAAGTTTTATCGATTATTATAAATATTGCAGGGTAGTGTTATTGTATTTTTTATTATATATTTTTTTTTAATATTATTTCTTCTTTATAAGTATTATATTATATAAAAATATATCTATATTTAAGATTATAGTGTTAGAGATTTTGAGGTGGATTAATTGGATTATAAATGGGTAATAAGAAGTCATTATTGAAAGATATTACTGCCAAGTCGCGGCTTCCACAAAAAACCGCTCACGGAAACGTATATATATATATATATATATTTATAAATATATGTTTCTAGTGTCGCGAAGGAAAGCTTAAGAGAATAAAATATCACCGACAAAAGTTCACCTCACAAATCTTAAAATTTATTATTGAGAACGACCAAAATTAATATTATGTATTTATTATAAGAATTAAAAGTTAATTGCGCAAATTAAAGTTTATTAATTAAAATAATAATTGTAATTACAATAATAGTTATTGTAATTGTAATTATAAAATTAATTATGCTTATCGAAATTAATTTTAGATGTGCGTACTACTGTAAGCTTTAGTAAATTTAAGCAGTGTGAGAGAAGAGAGTTCCCCTTATATAAATTTGTCAAAAAAAAAAAAAAATAATTATTATGTACATACTGCTGAAGAAGGCTCATACTAAAACAAAATTGTATAAAAACAAATTAAGTACTTACAGTAAAGTGTAGATATGTTTGTAATTCATATTCTTCTACGTAAAAAAATAAACACGCAGATATTTCGGTACCGCGTTCGTTTCGTTGCATTAATAATACTTTGTTTTAAATTTAGTTATTGTTACAATTAAAATTATTATTATTATTATTATTATTATTATTATTATTATGTATAGAACATCTCTGTAAAAAGGTATGGAGCTATTAGATTTAATTTTTGTTTAGATTTAACCATTCCATGAAGCTTTAATCCCTGCCGTCATTCGTAAACAGATAAATAGTTAGATACTTAATGCACCCAAAGTAATTAAAAATACCTTAAAAAAAGTAAGAGTACTTATAAAATATGAGATGGGAGCTTTGAATATAGTGCCTGCTTTATAATAAAAAATAAATAAATATATATTATAATATTTAAATGATAAAAAAAATAAAAAAAATATATAATGTACTACGCTAGTTTTACAGAATGCGGTCTATAAAAAGTAGAACTTTAATAAAGAGTAACAAATCAATAAAAACGCTATAAGTATACGCAATTGTATATTGTTGCATATGTAATTGTGTATGAATATAAAAGCAAACTGTGTAAATCTTTAAATAAAATTATATAATAATTAGTGACGGATCTGATGTATGAAAGTAAGGATGTAATTTGTGAGTGTAAGACGTCAACCATCAATAATAGAGAAATTATCAAGACTGCTTTCTTATATCCTTGTTGCTTTGCTTTTATGTATATACATATTCACCCATATATGTGTATACATAAATTAATTAAACATACGCGATTTCAGAATTACTCATTGCGAGTGAGAGACACCGAGTGTTGTGAGTAAAATAAAAAAAAAAAATAATTGCTCCAATACTGTACTTACAATAATAATAATGATAATATTGATGATGCTAGTCATGTAAAAAAAACGTATGCGTGTAAATCGGTAAATATTAATCTCGATTATATTAATGATATATGATATATATATATATATATATAATAAAAAATAATTCGTTATTTAGTATAAATAACTTGTATCTTTACTAACTTTGATAATTGGTTCTTCCACTTGTAAAATATTATCCACCACAGCTCCCCCGATCACGACAACTTGATCCTTTTGATTGATGGCTGTTGATAGAGCGGATTTGGGGCCAGGGGCGGGATTGAGCTGAGATGATAAATTATACAGCTCGGTAGCTATTTCTCCGGCAACTCTGGCGTTGTTTTCAATAAGCGCTTTATCTGGGGAAACAAACTTGTTAATAGAGCTCGATCTGGGTTGATGGGGAATTTCTGTTAATTACACTAAACACGTACTTGCAGATAATGATTTTCCGGAGGTAAGCTCTTTAACTCGCTTCAGTAGATACGGAGTTACTTCTTTCCCGGTTATCTTGTTCGACTCAGCCTCTTTGAGAGCCGTTTGGATTAATCCTTCTATTTCAGAAGGCTCTAAAGCTGCGGCTTCGGGGATCGGGACGGCGAATATCAAACCGGAGCTTAGTTTCATCATCCGCTGGACGTTGATGCACCTCGCAGCTTCTCTGGCTCCTGGAACGGTCATCGGTGCTGGAATTTTATCCACGGTAGTTCTGCTGTAAAATGCCGGAAACATTTTCGTGCCTATTGATATCACAGGTACTCCATGCGTTTCCTGTTTTAGGAAGAAAAATAAGTAGATTAAGCTTATTTGATGTTGAAAGAATTTTTTAAAATTACATTTAGTATCTAATAATATAGGTACATAGTTTTTTGATATTTTAAATTGTTATTTTTTAAAACTTGATTTTTTAACGAAGATTTTCTCTTTTTACTCTTTTAAAAAAATTAAATTTATATACTCTTATATTTTTGAATAATTTAAAATATTTCTTTAGTCTTAACTTTAATAAAATTAATTATTATTATTTAAAGTAATAAAATTATTTATTTATTTATTTATATATCATTTAGTGAAATTTTTGACAAGAGGTGTCCAAATGTAGACCCTTTTTTTCAACCTAAATCATTACCAACCATTACGAATCATTGACGATAATAATATTCCAAAAATTAATTTATATAATTCAAATAATAAAGTAAGAAAAATTTTATAATGAGCATATTACTATTTTTAAAGGAGTTTTTATAATTTAATTTGATATCATCAGAAAGGTCTTGATAAAAATTTGTGTCCTGTTAAGTTTTTGGAGCAGTTTTGAATAGTTTGTTGGTCCAATAAATTTTTTCCTACACATTTGTTCATTAAATTATTTGTAATTGATCCTAAAATATCTCTATTATTTTTTAACAATTTCTTAATTTTTTTTTTTTTTAACAAACAAATTTGTTGGAAAAAATTATTTTTAAATTTATTTCGGATATAAAATTATTTCCAAAATTTATTTGTTACAAAAATAATTAAAATTATCAAATATCTGCTAAATAAATTTTTATAATTCATTTTCGCATATTAACTACAGCTTTATAGTAACATATAATTAAATTACCAAAAATTCAAGAGTTTTTGGAATATCTAGAATGGCTTTTGGTCCAGCACAAACAACAGAAACCGGAGTGTGGCTCATAACAATCAAGTCGGAGCTAATATCAAATGTATTTTCAGCATTTCTATGAACACCTCCAATGCCACCGGTTGCCATTACGGCTATTCCGGCAAGATTTGCTATCGTAACAGTTGCTCCTACGGTCGTTCCGCCGTTTAAACCACCAGCTGCTATCGAGCAAATTTCTCTCGCTGAGCATTTAAACGTTTTAGTATCCGGGTTTGATAGTTTATGGATTTGCTCCTCGTTCATCCCCACATGGATTTCGCCATCAATTATTCCAATAGTTGCCGGAGTCACATTCTATAATTTATAACAACATCATATAGTTTATTAATAGCTTAAAGCGACTCGATCAATTGATATCTCCCGTTTGGAAAAAAAAAAGTCTTAAATTATTTATTTAATTGCCGACGCAGTTCAGAATTTATTTTTAAAAGTTTGTTTTCTAAAATTTGAGAATTATTTTTTTTTCCAAAGAGTAAATGCGCCCTTAAGCAAGATCGAATCATAAGTCATCAACCCAAGTGGTTTTTTATCACAAAAAGTATTTTAAACCTCGCGGAATTATAAATACAAATTTATGATTCTAACAATAGCAGACGTTTGACATTCTAGAGGGTTTTATAAATAAATTGCACGTCATAAGAAAAATATACACTGAAAATTCTCCATATGTTATCACTCTTGCTCGGATATTTATTTAGTTATTGAAAATGAAATTGTTCAACGGCTTCTTTTTTTAGACGAAGACTCCAGAAACTTCCAGTTGAAATTATAGAGTGGCCTAAAAAATTTACAAAAGTTTAAATATAATATAAGATCTGATTTTTAAAAGCATTTACCCTAGCAGAGAAGTTTTAAGATAAAAAAATTTACCTGCTTGAATTTTATTTAAATAATTCCGAGTACAGAGAGCGAATTTTCAATTTATGCTGATTATTTATTCGATTTTACGATGTTTCGTTGGTTTTATTCCAACTTATCAACTATATCTACAAAATAATAATTCAATTATTTACATACGTCATTGCCAAATTCGGAGAATAGATAGTAGCATTAATTTGATTAAATAATTTATAACAATACCTTGAAAAATCAAATTTATTACGAAAATTAATTTAACGGATTAAATATTCGTAAAGTTAGCAGTCATTTAATCATTTTTTAATTTTTTTTAACAAATAGATTTTTTCCAAAAAATTATTTTTAAAAAATTGCATTTTTTATTTTTTAAAATTTCTACATGTCAATTTTTTTCTACTTTTATTTTGCTATAATTTATTTGTTGAAAAAATTCTTAAAATTATCAAATATCTGATAAATTAATTTTAATGATATTTTTATCTGTTCGCGAAACTAAAAAATTAATCAGCATAAATTGCCAAATTTGCAAGTTTTATTTTATTTAAATAAAAAATTTTATTACTGAAAATTAAGTTAGCCGACATTTAAAAATTAAAAAAAATTTTTTTTATTGAAAAAGATGACTACAAAAAAAAATTGTCATTTGTTAAAAACTTGATAAACTGTAAGTGCAATTTTTTAAAAATATTTTTTCGTTCTAATTTAATTATTAAAAAAAAAATTAAAAACGTCGGCTAACTTTAGTATCATAAAAATATTTACCTGTTTTCTAATAATTTCCTCAATACTCATCGCCGTTTTAAAATTATCTGGATACGGCATTCCGTGAGTAATTATCGTCGACTCCAATGCAACAATTGGCGAGTTATTTTTTTTAGCTAAATTAACCTCATTTCCAAAAACGAGTCTTTCATGATGGAAAAATTTTTTTTCAATCACCCTCCAAGGTTTACAAAACCCAAAATTATTTAGTAAAAATTTATTTCTCCAAAACATGATTATTGATTATTATTTCTTCTCAAAATCTTGATAAAAAAATAATTAATTAAAAAAAATTACACGGCCCGATCAGTTCCCGTCAAAGTATTTTTTATTATTTACTTGTTTAGTTTTGACAGCTGATCATTTCTAAAAGCCGTATTTAAAAACTCCCGCCGTGTACTTACAATAATAATAGTAATAGTAAGAAACAATAATAATAATGACCAAGTACAGTTTACAGTTATATATGTGAGGTATGTACATAGATATTATGCAGATTGTTGTATTACATAAACAAACGGTTTGTTTTTTTTTTTAGGTTACTCGAAAATTTCACTTTATAATTAGTACCAGCACAATACAATAGTGAATAAATAATGTCTAGAAAAGTACACAAAATAATTCAGAATTTAATTTAAAATATTAAAAAAAAAAAAAAAAAATAAAAAAAAAAAAACCTAGTCATACAACTTATTATGTAAATGGAAAGCCTGAAGTATTAGTTGATGGGAGGAAATTGTCGGAGCTCATAACGCCGAGTCATAGTGAACGAGACTGTTGATAACTCGTATCTCTTATTATTAATATTAATTATTATTTAATATATTTATTTAAAATAAATAACAATGGATAAGACAAAAGCCAAACAACCTCAAAGTATAAGTACTATCGCTAAAATTTATTTAATATCTTACAATCTTTTTCTAGTAATTGGGTAAGTGTAATTTTATAATCAATTTCAAGTTCAAAGTTCATTTAATTTAATTTAATTTAAAAAAATTTTTTTATTCAGGTGGAGTTATATTTTATGTCTTCTCACGCGGTACTATTTCACCAATCATTACAAGGGTCAAAGTCTCTGGGACACGGTTTTTTCGTCGTTGATGATTTATCAAAATGCTGCTGTTTTTGAAGTAAATTTACAAAATTTAAATTATCAAATTCACTATTTTATATGTTAATTTAAATATTTAAAATTTTGTGATTAGAGCTAAATTTTTAGCCATAATTTTAAAATATTTAATGCAAATTTTTTATATTACGGCGAAAATATTTATCGTATAAAAAATATTTTTAAACAAAAGTTCAAAATTTAATTTTATACAAAAAAATGTATCATGATTTTTTAAAAGGTTCAAATTTTTTGATAATTATGAGTCCTAATTTTGAAATTACAGCAAAAATATATGTTATTAAAGTTATCTGTCACTTGACAAATTTTTAATTTTATTTAACAATTAAATTAACTCTAAAAAATTATTTAAAAAAAATTGCATTTTTAATTTCTAAATGTCAATTTTTTTTACAATAATTTATTTCTTAACAAAAGTTCTAAAAATTATTAAATATCTGCTAAATTAATTTTCATCAAAAATATTAATTTAAAAAAAAAATAACACATTTTTTTTATAAAATTAAATTTTAAACGTTTGTTTAAATATCAAAAATTTGAAGCATTCCATTATGAATTATTATTTTAATGAAAAAGTATAATTAAAATTAATTTTTTAGATTTTACACGCTTTCACTGGCCTTGTAAGGTCGAACCCAGTGATAACGACATTCCAAGTTTTTAGCCGAGTCATGGTAGTGGTAGGAGTGCTGCTAGTAACACCTCCAACAGCAGCAGCAGCATCCACAGGCTTGCCTATCGCATTGCTAGCCTGGTCAGTCACTGAAATAATTCGGTACGGATATTACTTCACGAATCTCGTAGGATTCGTTCCGCATTTTCTCGTATGGTTGAGATACACCACCTTCATATTCTTGTATCCTATTGGAGTTACTGGAGAACTCCTGTGCTTCTATTCTGCCCAACAGTACGCTCAAAAGCATCCCGATGCGTGGAGTTACGCTCTTCCCAATTCATGGAACATGACATTCAGCTACCACTATCTTCTCATAGCAATTATGTTACTCTACATTCCTCGTAAGTAAAAAAAAAAAAAAAAAAAAAAAAAAAAAAACCGTGAAATTAATTTACATCATTGAAGGATAAATTAATAAAATTTAATCATAAATTTTCAGTATTTCCTCATATGTACTTACACATGTTTAGTCAGAGGAAGAAAATTCTAGGACCAGGAGCCAAAGCCGGCAAAGCTCATTAATTTTATATGCTCCAAAGTATCAAGGATTTAATGTACAAGACTTAAAATAAATAAACAAGATCTTATTTTTAAGTGAAAAGTTTATTAAATACAATGGGTATTGAGTTTTTATGCTTGGTCGCCGGTTGGCATGGATTTAATAATATCTGAGTTACCCGGGTCGGTGATTGAGAGAGTACAAACTCTAAAGTATTTACCGCAAGCTGTACCGAGTTCAATGTTATTGCCGGTGTAATGGTGAACTCCAGTCTTGGCCAACATTGCGTAGTACTCGATTTCTGATTTTCTAAATTATATAAAAAATAATTAGTTTTTTTTTTTTTAAATTAAGTCATATAATATTAAAGCGATTTTCAGACGGTTAAATTATAATTTTGCTAAATAAATAATTATTTCACTTAATTAATTAATTTAATTATACATCCCTGGTTAAGAATACTGATTGAAAAGAATTGAAAAGAAGTCACTCCATGCAAACAAAAGAATTGAAAAGAATTCGAATTTTATAATTTTTGATTCTTTTCAATCAATATTTTCAAACAGGGATATTTACATTGATGTGCAATATAGTGATAAAAAAAACTTTGATGACTTATTTTTGAATATTAATTTTTGATAACTAATTTTACATGTGTAAATAATTTTTACAAACATAACAGTCATGCTTGTTAAAAGCGATAAGATTTATCGCCGTACATGTCATTAATATATATATATATATATATATAAAAAAAAAAAAAAAAAAAAAAAAAAAAAAGTGGGAGTACCGTCTAAAAACCGAGTGGTGAAATAAAATTACCTCAATGGTGGAGTATTGTTGGCAATGATCACAAGCTTAGCTTTGCCTTGTCTGAGAGATTTTAATGTTTGCTTGTACCCCAAAACGTATTTACCAGATTTCATTACCAACGCGAGCCTCGAGTTGATACTCTCCATCGCCTTTTTCTAAAATTCATTATTAATAACTATTATTATTATTATTATTATAAATTAATGAAAAATAATATCAATAATATGATACTAAATTTAACAGACACCTGATAATTTTTATAATAATAAAGTAAGCCGACATTTTTTATTTTATTTTGCTTAATTTATTGAATTATAACTAAAAAACATCCTAAAAAATTTCACTTATAGTTTTTGAAGTTTTTAACAAATGAAAAATTTTTTTTTTTTGTTTTGTTTGAAATAATTCTTTAATAAAAAAAATCATAATAATTAACAATCGGGAAAGTGAGGTTAACACGTGGCGTAATTGTTTTTTACTTACTTGTTTCTTTTGTGCAACCATTTTTATGGAATTATTAATTATCCGATTGTAATTATAAATATTCAACACTCTAAAGTATTTTAAATACTTTTATTATCGCAATAAAACGATAATTGATGTGCACTACGCGAAGATGGTTAAGGAAACCACAGGCAAAAGAAAATATTAAAAATTAGTTTTATATTTTCAACAAGTTGGCAAAGAGGGCAGCACTTTTTAAATATATATGTATGACTTATATTTGCTATATCATTAATAATGTGGTTTTTGTTGGAGATATAGTCACGTTAATTAGTTTTTTTGTAGTTGGATAAATATTTATATAACTTAATTAATATAAATAAATGTTAAAAAATTTCTAACTGATATATAATAATTTATATACTTAGGTTAAAAATTGTTAAATATATATTGTTATCTCAGGTGTTGATAAATATATAATATATAAATAAATAAAAATGTCGACTGGACCAAACTCATCAGTACACTCTGAAAAAGATTTAGATTTAAGTAATGTCGGACGAGGAGTGTGGTTAGTTAAAGTGCCTAAGTACATTGCTAATAAATGGGAAAAGGCACCGGGTAATATTGAAGTTGGTAAACTTAAAATAACAAAGTATGTATTTTATATATTTTTATTTTCATATTTAAAACTAACCCAAGTTAAGATAATTTATTTATTTATTTATTTTTTTTTTTTTCTAGAGTACCTGGAGAGAAAGCGGAAGTAACATTAGGATTATCAGAAGCAGTGTTAGCTCTGAAGGACCCTGGTGAAGAAGACATTCCAAAGCAGCACAAGTTGGATGTTAGTCAAGTAAAACATCAAACACTGGGTGTTTTTTCTCATATATCACGTACGTATTTTATTTGATACTAGCAACCTTACAGTCACTATGTGACTGCCATGGCCTGTGAACTATAAATAAATAAAATTTTGCTTTATTAATTAATGACTTTTGTTAAATTGCACTGTACTTTTTTAACTATTGAC